GGCAGGCATCCACACACTCCCAGTGGTCCTGAGCAGGGATCTCGATCTAGGCCAGTAGACGAGGCCTCAGGTACTAGAAGAGAGGCCAGCATCTGTTCCAGCTGACTCGCCCTGAAGAAGCCTGGGAGCTCCGGGTGGGATGGAGCCTGCCAAGCAGCTAATGGAAGGCACCTGCTCACATACCCGCTGGGGGTGGAAAAGACCCTCAGGCCGGCTCTGCAGCAGCGTCTGGAAAACCCCAGGCAACCACCCACTCTAGTCAAGAGCTGGAAGACCGGCCCAGAAAGAAGCAGGTCCACGTTATCTAAAGAAGCTTCCCAGGGAATATGCTATTTCTCATCAAAAGGGATCCAACTAGTTTTCTGATCCAAAATGGTCTGAGAGACTGGACAAGGGGCCACCCAAACTCAATGTCTGTGGGTTAGAGAGAGAACCTTTGAGGTACGGTTTTCCCCAGGGTTACTATCTCCTCTTTTACCTCTTTGTAAGAGTCACAGAGGGCCTCTGAGGATCCAGAATGGCCCTGGGAAGTTGTCAGTGCCCAACACTTCAGCCACCCACAGCACTCTATCTGATGAATAGGACAAGGCCTTGGACCCACGAGGGGCACCTGTAAACCCACACGACAATAAGGTGCTGAGCAGGGCAAGTGAGCAGGGAAGCAAGTGGAGTCTGGGCTTTGAGGCACGAGTAAGAGCTCCCTGGGGGACTGAGGCTAGAAAACAACATAGGAGAGGCCAGGCCGGAGTGAGATGGGTGAGGTGGGGGAAGAGGCTGGCCCAGAGTAAGGGCCTAGTACTCAGGAAGGACCCAGGCTCAAGAGAAAGTCTGAAGGCAAAAAGAGAGGCTTTGTTTCCATGGCAAGGAAGTGATGTGCTTTGGAAAGACTCAGCAGCCAGCCTGAGGATCTTTCCCACCCCCAGCGGGTATGTGAGCAGGTGCCTTCCATTAGCTGCTTGGCAGGCTCCATCCCACCCGGAGCTCCCAGGCTTCTTCAGGGCGAGTCAGCCTGGAACAGATGCTGGCCTCTCTTCTAGTACCTGAGGCCTCGTCTACTGGCCTAGATCGAGATCCCTGCCCAGGACCACTGGGAGTGTGTGGATGCCTGCCGCAGGGTGCCTGTCATACCAGACAAGCATCTAAGCGCACTCGCACGCACACACACACGTGACAGAACTGGGGAGAAATTAGTAAAAGTGGGGAGCAGATGTATTAAAACCTAAAATCCTGTACTCAGACCACTTCAAAAATACTCCTGCTTTATTATTTTTACAAAAGCCTTACCCAGGAGATGGCAGGTAAATAACATGGCTGTGGTTTCTGGGCTACCGGGTGATCGACTGTCAAAGAAAAGGCCACCCCTCCTAGCACACAGAGCCTTGTTCCGAATCCCATCCTTGTAGCCATGACACACGCTGAGGGCTGCCCTTCTATGGGGCCCCAAACCTGAGACAGGCCCACAGACTCTCCAAGACCGGCGCGGCCCCACTCACCCAGTGTGGGAGGTAGCAGATGCCCTCATCGGCCACAAACTCCAGCACACCGCAGTGCGTCATGCGGTCCGAGTTCTTGTTGGTCAGTTTGAACAGCATGGGGTACGTAATGTTGAGTCGGCCTAAAAAGGGGAGAGGCTGAGGCACAGCTTCTGTGAGGGAGAAGTTCTATTCCCCAAATGCGCTCCTCTGAAAATCAGCCTCCCTGGGTGCCCATCATGGCTTCACACAGCCCCGCTCCTCAGAGCAGGCCCTCAGACCCACGAGGTGCTTCGGCCCCTGGGTGCCTGCCCATGCGCCCCCCATGCATATCACTTGGCCCAGAGCTCAGGAATGTTTGGTGACCAAGGGACCAGTACTGGCTTACACTTGAGGCTCTCTGAAATCCCCGTTTTAAAAGGTTGTATGTTAACTCATTTATTCATAAATAATTAATTGCCAACCACATGCTGGACAAAATCCCTGCCTGCAAAGGTTTCTAGTTAGAAAGGTGGGGAAAAAAGAAACACGTGCACTGAGATGTTGCAGTGCTGTGGGAAGGGTGGTATGGGGGAGGCAGCATTCCTGTAGTCGTTCATGCCAGTCCTGGGCAGGCCAGCCAGGAAGGGAAGGCCAGAGAGGAAGCAGCCTGAACAAGGGCATGGAAGGAAGGGGAGCTCAGCCAGTTTGGGAATGGCTGGCCATCAGGTGAAACTGGGGCACAGGGAAAGGGTGAGAGTGTGGTCAGGAGGAGAGGGAGGCTGGGCCAGACACTATGCTGGGTGGGAGCATTCAGCAATGTGGGCTCTCAGCAAGGTCATGACACAGTATGCCCCCTCACTCTAGTGGTCCTGAGAGCAGGCGGCATGGACAGCCAGAAGCAGGCAAACAGGACTACTGGCAGGCTGACCCAGGAGGGCGGGAGGTGCAGGCAGTGTGAAGCAGGAGACCCAAGAGAGTCAGGGACCTGGGGGATGGGTCTGGGACAGACTGATGCAGTGACAAGTAAGTGTTTGCCATTTTCCAGGCTCTCGCTTACTCTTTCCAGACCAGTGAGGCAAGGACTATCATAACTACTTTTATCTACGGGGAACTAACATGCCCAGTCAGTGAGAAGCCCAGGATCACAAAGCCCAGGAGTGACGGATGCTGGGATTCAACCCAGGCTGCCAGCCCAGGTCTGAGGCTTAACCACCAAAGCTCACTTTAGCCCGTCGGCTTAAGCAGACATGGCCACAAAAGCTCCATTCAGTGGCAGGAGGTATGGCAGACTCCACCTGGGATCTTCCTGGAAATTATGATGATGCAGATCAATAAGAAGCTTGGGCAGGAAGCCACAAATGGGGGAGAAGAGCCTGCAGAAGTGACAGCAGTGGGTATGGGTGTTCTTGCCCCATCGCCAAGGGTGACTTGGCTGCTGGAGGCCAGGCCCTCTGTCCCCAGCACATCTCTCAGCTGTGGAGTCGTGAGGCAGAACAGTGGTCAGTCAGGGTAAAGCAGATCAGGCTCCAGCCAAGGATCCAAGATTCTTGTGGTTGGAAGAAACCCTGTGCTCCTCAGTCTGGTGGTTTTCACACTGCATTTTCGGATTTAGAGAAGAGTCTCGGGGCTCCTGAGCCCTCTGCACCATCTCACCTCCTCCAAACTGAGCAGTGACCCTTTTATAAATTAAGACTCTCTGTAAGATTTCATTTGGACAAAGTTTCTTCCATGACTTAAAAGATTTGAACACTGTGATCTAAGCCCCCTGTCCCAATCCGAGTCTCTTCTCAGACACCTGTACCAAGGGTCACACCTGGCACTCAGTGCCTGGGTCAGCTCAAATGGAAAGGCAGGCTCTCTTGGGGGGGGGGCGCTTGTCTCCTCCTCTATGATGGGGCTATGAACCCCATGGGTCTGTTAACCCACTGGCTGTGCAGAGGCTAGAATTGCAGGCCTCTACTGGGTGTGGCCACTGCTGCTGCTGGCACTGGTTTAGCCCTGCTGGCTGAAGGCCACCTCCTGCCTTGACTGGTGTCACATGGGCTTGGGCTATTTACATACATACCACAGGGCACCATCTAGGAGGAGGTACTCCTGCCACATAGCAGCTTTGATGGATGGGTGCTGTGTTTCCCTGTTTAAAGATGAGGACACTGAAGTTCAGAGGCCAAGTCACTAGTCTATAGCCAGGCCAGGCCAGATGCAAAGCCCAAGTTGGAATGATACCAGACCCACGCCCCTTCCCTATGGTGCTGCCCGACATGTACCAGACACTGAGTGTGGACCCGCCCTCCAGTGGCCGCCACGTCTCCTGCCTCAGATAGGAGGAACTCACACCAGAAACACCACTGAATCTCGAAAGGAACTGATTGTGCCTGTGGCTGGGGGCATGAGGTCTCCATGGGTTGTTCTCATGGGATGAAGGCTTGAGGAAAGAGAAAGTACGGCTGCTCTCACAACCCATGGGACTTTCTGGCTCCTGCTATAAGAGAAAGGACCTGATGAGAGAGGCAGCTTCTGGGGCAGAAGACAACAGCTCAGTTTTTGATGTGCTTTTCAATGCAATGGGGCAGACAGGGCCTGGAGCTGAGGAAACATGTTTGGGGAAGAGATGAGAAGCCTGCTACATAGCATCCTCCTTGGAGTCCACTGCCTCCTTTAGGAGAAAACCTAGTGAACCCAGCCAGTAGCATCAGAGTGATGCCCCAGCAGGGTGAAAAGCATTGGTGCTCGAACTTTCCTTTAGTCCTGATGGGATCTGAATAAGGTGTATATGTGTGCTGGGGGTGGGGATTCAGAAGAGCAGAACCCCCTTCATAGGGGAGGGACCTAGAGCTGAGTACTTGCTGGCCCCAGCCTGGACAGCTGGCCACCACCAGCCACCACCTCACCAGGGCATCTGCAGGTCCAGCCAGCCCTCCAGTTCAGCACACATCCTCCAAAGACAATTCCCAACCAGACATGATGAAGGTTGCCTATGTCCGAACATACTGAAGAGCATGTGCCAAGTTTCTGATGTCCATACTTAAATGACCTCAGTTCCCTAGTCATGGAGAAGATACTTACTGAGTTGATCGAGGGCTGAGGGCGGCATAATTACTATGGAAAGAATATTTAAGAAACATTAAAAAAATAAAATTAAAAAGGCAGAACAAAAGCCAAAGTTTAGTTTCTGTCGTATCTTTAAAACATACAAAATGATACTTGTGAGGTAGCCAGAATTTCATAATGATCTTTCATAAGGAATTTTACTTGCTGTAATTCATTGTGGGGAACCAAATGGCTATTAGCCATAAATCTAATCATAATTAGGACTCTCCCTCCCACCCCCAGACCCCCTTAACAAGTCTAGGGCAAGTAAGATTTTCACTGTAACTAGCTTCTGGTTACACATGCAAAACAAGGGCTACTGAAGACTATAAGCACTGCAGGCTGAGGGCAGGAAAGGTTACTATTCAAAATAAAAATGAGCACATACTCTTCCCTCCTTTCTCCACATCTGACCTGTCATTAGGCCCTGCGAGCATGGACACGGAGAAGCAGCGGTACTGCGTGGAGAAGCGGTTCTGGAAGACCCGGGGAATTGGGTGGTCGAACATGTTGAAGGAGAACTACAAGGAAGGAAAGAAATGCTGGAGTTAGTACAGAACAAAGGTCCATTTCTTCACGTTGAAAGCCCAAACAAGTCAGGGCAGTTAATGCTGCTGAATGTCCTGGAAGAACAAGATGCACCGAAATCCTGATAGAGCAGAGCAATCTGCCCGAAGCACTTCCTGGGAGCCCGGGGAATCTCAGATCTGTTTCTACACATTTGGCCCTGCCCAGTCTCATCCCTCCTGTCTAGATTCCACTGCTTTTAGACGGTGCAATCTTACTAAAATACACAGTTGGCCACGTCAAGCCTGTCATTAACCTCTTTCAGTCTCTCACCCCTCACCCAAGGACCCAGGCCAGACCTCACACATACCTCAGAGACTTGTTACTGATGGCCCTGCAATCTCCTACACCTGCCACACCTGGTTCCTCCAACTGGAACACTTTCCCTCTTCTCATTAATTAAAAAAACAAACTATTGAGTGCCCACTATCTGCTAGGCTCTGATCTAAGCACTAGCAAAACATCACTCTAGGACGTTTGCTCAGTAACAGGTACAACATCTGCCTCGGAGGAGCTGACATTCAAGCAAGGGAAACAAATAAGAGAAAATAGCTGCATGTCTGGTGCTGATAAATGCGCTGAGGACAACACAGGGTAAGGGACAGAGAACTCCTGGGAATGCTGTTTTATTTATTTTTTAAGATTTTATTTACTGATTTGAGAGAAGAGTAAGCGAGAGAGAGAGAGCAGAGCACAAGCCAGGGGAGGGGCAGAGGGACAGGGAGGAGCAGACTCCCCGTGGAGCAGGGAGCCCAACATGGGACTCAGACCTGAATTGAAGGCAGATGCTTAACTAAATGAGCCACCCAGGCACCTGGGATTGCTATTTTAAATGGGTGGTCAGGAAGGGACTCTGCAGAGACTTGAATGCCAGGAGGGAGCCAAGCAAAAAACAGGGAATGGCATTCCAAGCAGCAGGAAGAGCAGGCACGAGGTGTTTGCACTCCTTCCCCTGGCTCCCATGACCATCCTTTCCTTGTTCCAGGAACCTTCCCTGCTTTGCCCAGGTTTTGGACTGGTGTCCCTCCAAGGTGCTCTCATGTTACACTGTGGTACTCCATCATGTTAATAAGTAAAGTCAAGACATGGTGCCACCAAAAAGGTGATATCCCAGCTTTTAACATGAGGCTTAGAAAACTTGTGACAGAGTAATCTGGAGTCTTCTCAAAGTATTGCAATTACCATGATGTCCCTCCTACCCCCCTCCAATGTAAAACTGCACAACAGGGTACATATCCAAAAGAACTGAAAGCAGGCTCTTGAAAAGATATTTGTCTGATGTTCGAATGTTCATAGAGCACTATTCATAATAGCTAAGAGGTGGAAACAATCCAAGGGTCCATCAACAGATGAAAGGCGAAAAAAATGTGGTCTACCCAAAGGAATATTATTCAGCCTTTAAAAGGGAGGAAAATCTTATCACATCCTACAACGTGGATGAACCTTGAGGACCTTATGCTCAGTGAAATAAGCCCATCACAAAAAGACAAATACTATTTGATTTCACTTATATGAGATCCCTAGAGTTGTCAAATTCATAGAGACAAAAAGTAACATGTTGGTTGCAGGGAACAGGTGAGGGGAAATGGGGGAATTATTGTTTAATGGGTACAGAGTTTCAGTTTTAAAGGATGAAAAAATTCTGGACATCCAATATACAACAATGTGAATATACTTAACATTACAGAATCTACACTTAAAAATGGTTAAGATGATAAATTTATGTATTTTTTACAAGTTTTAAAAAATATCTCACAATGGACAAATATTTCCTGACTTCATTCCAAATATACATTAAGTAGAGAGAAAGCCATCTACTGATAAGGTCCTTTACCAGCAATTCCAAAATTAGCAAGATGAATCTGCGGTCTTCTACAATACAAACACAGCATGTTCTTGCTTAAAATTTCAAATGGCTCCTCAATCCCTGGGAGCTTCAGCATAGTAGTTTTCAAGCCTTTGTCTCTCCTTTTTTTAAGCAGAACTCTGTTCCACAGTCTTGGCCAGAAGGGTAACAAATGTGAAGGTAGAGCAGTGGGGGTTTCCCTAAGCCTTTCACTACACCACCCCATCCAAGCCATTTTTTCTCTTTGCTTTCATTCCTCCTTAAATCAGAAAATCCCCACAAAGTATTTAACACCCTTAACAATTTGCCTTCAGTCCACCCATATACCTGACCTTCTGCCCCTCTCTGCTGCTCCCAACCCCAAGTCCTACTTTCTTTTATAATCCCAATGCCTAACATATTGCCTAGACCTCTTCAGATATTCAACGTCTTTAAGTGGATGAACTTGAGAATGGAAACATGATTCAACAATGACATACTTCGGATAAAACCTAATAACCATTATTTCTTTTTGCTAAAATAAACAAGTGACATTGAGGCAATGCCGAACAATGGTAATGAGACTAAGCTTCGCGGCCAGACTTGGCTTCAAATTTCCACTCCCCACTTCTCTGACCTCGAGTAAACTACTTACTTCTTTAAACCTTGGTTTTTTTCATGGTTAAAATGATAATAATCATCCTTGCCTCCAACGGCATTGTAGGGATTAAATGGGATATGGTGTAATAAGGGACGGTGGATGTTAAAAACTGTGTAACAGAAAAAGCGCCAGCAAAAACTAGCTACTACTGTTATCCTTAATGAATCGCTTAAATAGCCAAAGGCATCATTACAACGGAGGTATGACCCAGAAGTACCGCGCTGGAGGAACTGGGGCAAGGGCTGAGTGTTCCCTTCCATGGGAATGGCCCCCAAGTATTCTCCCTGGGGGGCCCCTGACTCGACTTCTCACCCCCAGCAACTTTTCAATTAATTTGGTGTTATGGAAACCTGTTACGTGCCTAGCACTTGTGAGACCCGTGGGTGGACCCAAACGTAGAAGATTCCTTTTCACCCCGAAGTAGTTTAAGTCCAACTGAGAGGAAAGCCAAACTATGCCCGGAACCAGCGAAGACGAGCCAAGGCCGTTCGTGGTCAAGGGTCCGGCTCTTGCCCGGCCGGAGTGACTCGGCATCTCCGCGGCGGTCCAGTCAGCCCTGCCGGACCCGGCCTCGGCCCCTGGCCCCAGCCGCCAGCCCCAGCTCCCAGCCCCTGCCAGGCCGCGCTCACCATGGTGGACACCCCTGCCTCGCAGATGCCGCTTCGCCAAGAGAACGTTAGGATGGGAACCAGCCAACCCTCTCTGCTCACAGGAGCCACCGCCGCCGCTTCCGCTCCGACGCCCTGGGAGGCTCACCGGAAGTGCCGGACCTGCGACCCGGGGGGAGATGAGGAAGACAGGGGTAGGCTGCAAATGAGAAAAAGCCAGGCAAAGACGCTAGGGTCTAAAATTTCCCTGTAGTATAAACTAAAATACCATTTCCTAACTTTTTGTCCGCTCTAAAGTATTTTTTATAATTATTTTAAATTACATTTTTTAGTACTCCCCTCTAGACGAATTTAGTGAGGCCCACTCTCCTTGTCGACTACACTACCCAGAATGCACGTAGACCTTCCGGCTTTTGCGGCAGCCATCGAGGATGCTGGCGGAAGTAAGCTACACATCCGCCTTCGAACTACGCCGAGAGCTTTTTGAAAATCGTAAACTGACGACTTCGTTCGATGTATAAGTGAATTTAATTTATGGCGAGGTTTCTTTTTCCTGGAGTTCCCAGTGGGAGGCAATAGGCTTCTCTTCCCAAACTAAAGATGTCCACCAAGTGTTGGATTTGTGGGTAAATGGGAGTCAGGATTGAAATGGGCGACCGTGCTTGAGTCCTGCCTGTGGATGACGCTCCTCTTGGAGCGGACCTGACTTTTCCAGCCAGAATGGCCGAGTGCTAGTGCCCGCCTCCAATGTGACCCAATCAGAAAGAGGGAAAGGCTGGGAACTAAGTAGCGATTGGCTGGATCCTGGGCCAATCGGAAGAGTCCTGATTTGGCGGGAGTGTTGACTGCCGCAGCAGCTCTTGGAATCTCTGCCCTAGCTCTCGGGGTCCGGCCGCCGTGGCCATGTTCGTGTCCGATTTCCGCAAGGAGTTCTACGAGGTGGTCCAGAGCCAGGTGACCCCTTTTCTTGGACCTCGTGGCCTTGTCGGGGGGAAGGGATGAGAGGGAGCGGCCGTGGGAGGGCACCAGGGGCCAGTGTTCGGGTCTCTGCCTTCAACAGGCCCGCTCTTCTCCCGACAGAGGGTTCTTCTCTTCGTGGCCTCGGACGTGGACGCTCTGTGCGCTTGCAAGATCCTTCAGGTGAGCCTTGCGTACTTTGGAAGGAAAGGGCCGGGGCGAAAGGTGAGAATGCAAGCGGGGCCCCAGGAGGAATTGGGTGCGGTGGGCTGGGACTCGGGGCTGGAGGTGAGGAGCAGAGAAGGGAACCGCCCCTCTCCCCACCCCCCATGGTGAGAGCGCAAGCTACCTTAGTGGCTGGAGCAGAGGAAAGCTGGGGAGGGGCACTCTGAGAGATCGTCTCGCTGGCAGGAGCATTGGGTGGGTTAAAGAAGTATTCGGCAAAAGACAGGGATACTAGTTAGTATTTTTGCAATAACCTGGGCCAAAAAAATGGTTGCATTGGAAAGACCCTTAGACCTGGATGGAGTGACTTTGCAAGTGTGGGGTTTCAGACAGAAGAGTCTGTGACAGCTGAGGGCACAGTGGTGTCATAAGCAATACCGGAAATTCAGATTCCTTCGTCTATTAGGGAAGATCACTGGTTCTGTTTTGAATATAATGCAATGTTTACATGACCTTTGTTCAGGCCCTTGGGTCAGGAACTACTTCTCAGAAGACCTAGAAATAAGATCAGCTCCCCCCCCTTCCCTGCCGATGTTTTCCTTTAGTAATTTTCAAAAATTAGGCAAAGTTGACAGAATGATACAGTGAACAGTCATATCACCATAACCTAGTTTTTCCCATTAACGTTTTACCATTCTTACCTTATCACATGTCATTCGTTTCTCAATCCATCTTTTTTTTTTAAAGTGCATTTCAAAGTAAATTGAAAATGTCCTAAATTTGATAGGTTTGAAATTAATCTCTCTCAGGCCCTGTTCCAGTGCGATCACGTGCAGTATACCCTGGTTCCAGTTTCTGGGTGGCAAGAACTTGAAACTGCATTTCTTGAGCATAAAGAACAGGTATGAAAGAAGTATTTTAGAATAATTAGTCTTATTTTATTCAGTTGCAATTTCTTAATACTTAGTATTCTTTCTATGTCCACAATACGTTGCATGTATATTTAAGTATCAGCTATATTAAACAGCATGGAAGGAAAAAATGAGCTATACAGGGTGACTTATCCTCAAGTTGTGGAGACAAAATTGACAACCAAAATAAAGAGAGTGAATGTGAACACCCTCTAACTTTGAATTTGTGTTGCGGACACTTCATTGTAAGGTGCTTAGAGCTTAGCAGTTAGTTTTTGATATGGCCTAGTTACAATTATGTTAGACTACACCGTTATTATACATTCTCTCTCCAAGAAAAAGTATCCCAATTTCCAAATGTTAATCCAGGAATATATCTTCTCCCTTTGCAATTTAAACAGTAGAGGCCAGGACTTCTAGTACCTCTGCATGGGGCTATATTGAGAGATGGGACATTTTAGATCCCACAGGGTAGGGCTGGAGTAGGGAAGAGGGTTTTGGGGGGTCTGGGGCCACATTTAGGACTGTATGGCAGAGATAAATCCTTGCCTGGAGCTGCTGTCATCACGGAAGGAGTGTACTGGTGCCAACTTGGTATTTATAAGGAAGAGATTCTCTATAGTGATAGGACGTAATAAGACTTAATTTAATATTATGTTCCCGTTAAGTATGGGCTGCCCAAAACTTGCTACAAATTTAAACCTGTATAATGCTGTTAGTACAGAGAGACAGCACAGTCCTGTAGGGGACTGAGATCTGAAGAGGCTCTGTTATGCATTTGAAGTCTTGGTCTGCTGCTCGTCAGCTTCTTGGCCCTTTGCATGAGATTGAGTCATGCTGAGCCTCCACGTGCTGTCTCTGCAAAGCATAGACAACCACAGGGCCAGCCATGGGCCTGTCTCATGGTGTCATCATGGAAAGGAAAGAGCCTGTGGAGTATAAGCACTAACACAGGCCAGCGCTTGCCATTTTTGGAGCCTCTCACTGTCGGGGCCTTGTCTGGTGTCAGGGGCTCGATGTGTCTCAGCAGAAGGACTCAGGGGCCTAGTATGCTGAAGTGAAGGACCTCCTCAAGGCACTTACTTCACAATGTCTCTCTCTTTTTTCCAGTTCCGTTATTTTATCCTCATAAACTGCGGAGCTAACGTAGACCTATTGGATATCCTTCAGCCTGATGAAGATGCCATATTTTTTGTGTGTGACACCCACAGGCCAGTCAATGTCGTGAATGTATACAATGATGCCCAGGTAACTCAGCCTTTGGGGCCCATGTCTTCCCTGAGTTCTCCTGTCCATCTTTCTGTACCTTTTACGCCATGGACAACATCGCACCTGATGTTCTAAGCAAGGCATGTATCCACCTCCGCTACGGGAGTTGAAACAGCCTGAGGGCAAGAACCTAGTCTTGCTTATCTCTGGTGAGAAACATGGTGCCTAAGTCTTGGAGGCGCTCAGAATACATTTTGGAATTCACTTAACCTGGGAAGTGTAGGGACCAGAACCCTGCACTGAGCCTGCCCTCAGAGCTCAGGCCCAGCTGGCATCATTGAATAAAAGGATCTAGAGGCATTAGCCCTATGAGTGGGGCTAGCACTCTCCCTGCCCATCCGAAGGGTGGTGTGAGGACCAGAAGACGATAGTGTAAGAGGCCACTGTTAGCCTAAAATGGCCATGCTGTGCTTCCTCCTTGAACTCCAGCAGCAAGCATGGAGGCTGGCACAGGGCAGCCACCTAACCATTCTCTAAGTTGACCCCCCCGCCAACCCTCCCACCGTGTTATCAAACTGTTGGCCCTGAAGTTCTCTCTCTAAGCGAAATCAGCTTGGAACTGCTTTTAGAGACAGCAGTATTATTCACTTAGGTGTCACACATCTTCATGTCTTCTGTCAGAGTCCAAGTTGCGGGATATTCATTTTGTTTGTGTGGTGTGTGGCATAAGAGGGAGCTTTTTTTCTCAGACTTAAGTGACTATGGATACTTTTTAAATTTTTGGAATTTTTGCATATCATGCGGTACAACTCCAGTGCCTCAGTGAGTGGAAAGGAAAACAAGAAAATGCTTGAGAAGTCTGAAATTCTTCTCTCAAACAGGAGCTGAAAACTGAACGAGTCAGCTCATTGGGAAATAAGATTCTACAAGAGAAAAACATGTGGTGGAAAATTTTCTGTCAATGAGAGAGGAGAGTCTTGATTGCTTTTTGTTTTAATCGTAGATCAAACTACTCATTAAACAAGATGATGACCTTGAAGTTCCTGCCTATGATGATATCTTCAGAGATGAAGAAGAGGATGAAGAGCATTCAGGAAGTGAAAGTGACAATGGGTCAGAGCCTTCTGAGAAGCGCACACGGTTGGAAGAGGTGGGTTTGGGCTTCCCCACGTCTTGAGGGACTTGTCGTTCCCAGAGGTCAGAGCTCAGACTGGAGCCTGTGGGGCCCAGGGTTAGCTGGGATTCAGCAGGCATGGGGTGTTGACCCTGGGCTCTGCCATCCCCTGGCTGTGTTGCCTCAGGCAGGTTACTGAACTTCTCTGAGCTTTGACATCCTTCTCTGTATTGTAGAATTTTGTCAGAGGAGATGAAACTTAGGATGGCTCCGCTCTTCGCTTAGAGAGCATACATTTTTAAAGAGTGATACAGAGGGGTGGCTGAGTGGCTCAGTCGGTTAAGCGTCCTACTCTTCGTTTTGGCTCAGGTTATGATCTCAGGACCCCCCCTGCGTCAGGCTCCACACTGAGCGCAGAGTCTGCTCAAGATTCTCTCTCCCTCTCCTTCCCACTCTGCTCTTCCCCCTGCTCTCTCCCTCTTTCTCTCTAAAATAAATAAAAATAAAGTCTTAAAATAAAAGAGCGATACAGAGAAACAATAAATAGCATCGGCTCCCTTCCCCCCTTTCTCAAGACTCGCTCTCTGCAGTCACCATGGAGGAACAACATGGGTCTGTGGCTCTCAGCCAGGCTCAGTCCCCCATGGTCACTCCAGGGGAAGCATCTTGTGTGCAAAGGTAAGAGTGGTTTCAGCCTCGTGAGTTTTGGATCTGAGGTGCTTGCCCAATCTGGGGCCTGGCCAACAGGAAGTGGCCTACCCAATGCAGTGGCTTCTGCTCCATGGAAAATTAAAGGTGGCAGGTGGTTGTTCCTTTAACAGGAGGGCCATGTTTATTCTAGTGTTCAGTGTTGTGGAAGAAGCTGATGCCCTTTGGCTCCCAATCCTTGGTGTGCGTGCTGAAATTTGCCTCTGAAATGTTTTGGGGTCTTCCCTTCATCCTTGGCCTGACGTTTTCCAATAAGGTGCTTTAGCAGAGCTCTTTTGAGCCATTTTGGGGACATTCAGGACATTCTGTCCTTCTAGGGGGCATGTCCTACAAAGGTAGGAATGTTTTCTCATTGCCTTCCCTGCCTTTGACCAGTCCCTTCTCTAGAGTTTTGGGTGGTCTGATCAAGAACCTCAGGCACATTCTTAGATTCTCTTTCCTCTTGTCCAACTCTTTATCTGCTCCACTCTCTAGCCAACTTCTGGTCTTCATCTTCTAATCTTTGATTTCTAAGAGCTCTTTTTTTGTTATCTGATGCTCCTTTTTTTAATAGCATTCTTTTACCTATTAATGAGCTGCTTTCCATCGGGCCCCAAATATCAGTATCTGGTGGGATTTTCTCTGGGAACATTCATGTTCTGCAGATTAGGGTCTTGGAATTCTCCATCCTGACTAATAAGTATATTAGTACCGGGTATCGATTAGGCTCTAGGGTCCCCAGGGGAGAACAAAGTCCTGCCTTCACAAAGCTTCCTTTCCAGTGGGTCAGACATATGGAATGTGTAAATGAGCACAGTTCAAGGATGGTTTCAGGTGGAGAGCTATGTCGAATGAGGAAAACTAAAGCAAGGTAAGGGGCTAGAGAGGGAATGGGCTGCTTTTATGAATGTGGCCGTGGACACTTGACCTGATTGAGGAAGGGAAGAGCCAGGAAGATCCCTTAGGATCTTCTCTGCATCCAGTGCAGTGTCCACAGATGCAAGGGCTCTGTGAGGGGAACAGGCAAGCGAGAACTGACCAGCGGGTTTGACAGTAAAGAGAATGTCGATTGTTCATGATGAGATGTCAGAACATGTCAGAGCTCCCATTAACATTTTTAGTGCATTTATTTGGAATCTGAGTTTGTGAATGCTTTCTGTAATACTCATAAAATATACATAATTTCCCACCAGCTTTTTTTTTCTTTTAGAAGTTTTATAATTTTAGTGGTTTTTTTTTTAATTCTTTATTTAAATTCAATTTAGTTAACATATACTGTATTATTAGTTTCAGGGGTAGAATTTAGTGATTCATCATTTGCATATAACCGCCAGTGCTCATTGCTTCAAGCGCCCTCTTTAATGCCCATCACCCAGTTACCCCATTCCCCACCCACCTCCCCTCCAGCAATCCTCAGTTTGTTTCCTAGAGATCAGCGTCTCTTATGTTTGTCTCCCTCTCTATTTTCATCTTATTTTATTTTTCCTTCCCTTCCCCTATGTTCATCTGTTTTATTTCTTAAATTCCACATATGAGTGAAATTGTATGGCATTTGTCTTTGACTGACTTATTTTGCTTAGCATAATACCCTCTAGTTCCATCCACATCATTGCAAAATGGCAAAATTTCATTCTTTTTGATGGTTGAATAATAATTCCATTGTGTGTGTATATATATATTTACATATATATATATCTTACATCTCCTTTATGCATTTATCTGTTGATGGACATCTGGGCTCTTTGCATATTTTGGCTATTGTGGACATAGCTGCTATAAACATTGGGATGCAGATGCCCCTTCGAATCACTATATTTGAATCCTTTGGATAAATACCTAGTAGTGCAATTGTTGGGTCGTCGGGTAGCTCTATTTTTAACTTTTTGAGGAACCTCCATATGTTTTCCAGAGTTTTTATTCTGATATTTTTCTAACGTATACAACACTTAAAAAGATAGTACAGTGAATACCCATATACATTTCATCGGGATTCAGCAATTTTTCATATTTTCCACACTTTTGCCAGTTTGCCTTCTTTCTATATATGCTTTTTTTTTTTTGCTAGTTCATTTGAGAATAACTTGCAGACACCATGATGCTCCCTGACAAATTCTTCCATAATCATCTCCTAAGAACATTCTCCTCTATAAACACAGTACCATTATCATACATAATAAATTGGTAATGTCATCTAGTCAACCCATATTTCAATTTCTTTAATTGTCCCCAAAATAGATTTTGTAGCTGTTTTTGTGTACAGGGTTGGCACATTTGCATTTAGCTATTCTCTTAATTGTCTTTTAACCTAGACCAGGACCCCATCTCTTTTTTTTCTGTTTTGTTTTGAATGACATTGGAGGCCAGTCCAGTTTTCTAGTATTTATCACTTGTTCATGGAATACTTTTACTTGCTCCCCTAACTTTGCATTTGCTGTCGTCCAAGTTTAGGCCTACATACCTGATTTTAATAAAAGTTAACACTTTTTTTTTTTTAAGATTTTATTTATTTGAGAGAGAGAGAGAGAGGGAGGGAGAGCAAAAACGGAGAGTGAGAGTGAGAAGCAGACTCCCCGCTGAGCAGAGAGCCCGATGTGGGACTCGATCCCAGGACCCTGAGATCATGACCTTAGCTGAAGGCAGACGCTTTAACCGACTGAGCCACCCAGGTGCCCAAAAGTTAACACTTTGGAGAATACTTCAAATGTAATTAAATCTGTATGATTTGTAAATACACTTGTATCCAAGATATATTCTCAGAAATATTTTTATTGATACGGGTGCACACTCAAAGAGATTTAGAGAAAACAGACTATAAATATAGAAATCTTAGCTTCCTTTACTTCCCTTACTCTCCTCTATTTATAATGTAAGTTTCTTAAAAATAGACTCTGTACATTTAGATTCACACTATACAGTGGGATAAATTTTGCTTCAACAACAGAACATAATTATAAAACTCAAGAGGATAAGGGAAGCCTATTATCTTTACCCAGTTTCTACTCAGTATGTTCTTTCTTCCATCCTGATATTCCAGCGTTTTTTCTTTTGTCATTTTCTTTCTGTTTTTAGAAATGCCTTTAACTATTTTTTTTTTCTTTTTTTAGAGGAAATCTGCTGGCAGTAAATTCACTTAGTTTTCCTTTTTCTGAGAATTTCTTGATTTTTCTCTTCTTTCCTGAAAGATATTTTCCTTCTGTGTGGGATTTAGAGTTAACAGTTCTTTTTTGTCTGCACTTGAAAATGTTACACTCCTTCTTCTGGCCTCTGTGGTTTCTAGTGAGAAATCTGCTGCCATTCAGATTGTTTTATCCTATAGGTAAGACATCATTTTTCTTTTGCTCTTTTTGAGATTTAAAAAAAATTGGGGGCTCTAATGGTCAGAAGTTTAATTACAATGTGTCTTGGTGTGGATTTCTTTGGGTTTAACCTATTGGGATTCAGTCAGCTTTTTGAATCTGTAGGTTTCTCTCCCTTGCCAAATTTTGAGCCATATTTCTTCATTTCAGCCATTATTTCTTCAAGTGTGTTTTCAGCCAATCCTCTTTCTCCTCTCCTTCCAGGACACCAGTGACATGAAGGGTAGGTGTTTTGTTGTAGGCTCACATGTTACTGAGGTTCTGTTTGTTTTTTCAGTCTGTTTTCCCTCTCTTGATCAGACTTGGATAATTTCTATCATTGTCTCTGCTGGTTCTTTCCTCTGTTCCTTCATTCTGCTCTTGAGCCCAATCACTGAGTTTCTATGTCAGTTATTGTACTTTACAGTTGTAAATTTCTCTTTGTTTCTTCTCTATTTTTCTACTTATTTGCGAAAGCTTCCTTTTTTTTTTTTATGTGTTTCAGCTGTTTCTAATTGCCCATTGAGGCATTTTTGTGGTGGCTGCTTTAAAATCTTTGTCAGATAATTCTAACATCTTTGTTATCTTGGTGTTGGCATTTATGGGTTTCCTTTTTTTGTGTTCAGTTGAGATCTTCCTGGTTCCTGTGGTATGATGAGTGCTTTTCACATGAAACCTGGACATTTTTATATTATGTTTTGAGATTCTGGGTCTTATATAAGCCTTCTGTTTTATCTGCTTTCTCTGACATCACTCTGGCAAAGGAGGGGGCGGGCAGCCTGGTCCCTTTATAGCCAGGTGGAGGTAGAAGTTCAAGGTTCCCTACTTGACCTCCATTAGCCAGTGAAAGGAGTGGCTCTCTGTTACCACTGGGCAAGGAAGGTCCAGGCTCCCTACTTGGCCGCCTCTGATACCACCCCATTGAGCATGTTGAGAGGTGTTGCAAGTGAAAGGTGGAGGTGTTACATTACAGCTGGGAGGTGTTCACCAGGGTGGGAGTCTGGCCTCCCACTTGGTCTTTGCTGGGTGGGTAGGGGTGGGGCCACACTGTTTTTGGTGGTGGTGGCTAGAGTAGACCAATTATTGTCTAAAAGTTTTGTCTTTCAAGGCTGCTTCTCTGGGTCCTTGGCTTTTGTTGGGGATTTTTTCCTCTGTGCCTGTTGGTGTTTCCAGGTTGCCGGCTTCTTCACCTTTAAGTCTGGGATATATAAGCCAAAACGAAAACCCAGGGAACTCATCTGCATGTCAGTCCTCAGGTCCTAGGATCCCCAGCTGGTTGGCCTTTCTCTCTACCTTCCAGAGTCTTACTTTGTTTGTTTTATATATATCGACAGGGTTTTCAGATATATTTAGTGGACATATAGGGAGAATTGGATGGAAAATTTCCATCTTTCTGGAAGCAGAAGTCTTGGGACCAGAGATCTGTAAACCCGCCGTACTACCTCATGCCTTTCCTGTGAGAAATAAAGGGATTGTGCCTATAAAATTAGAATAGTGGCTGGCACGTGGAGGGACATAGGAAATATTAGTGTTTATTAATCTGGTGGGGAAACCAGTACGAAGTGACGATGCGCTTATCCTGGATCACACAGTGGTGGGGGCAATGGAAGGCTGGACTGGACAGGTGGAGCACATAGATGGTGTAGCCAGAGCAGGCACTGGGGAAGCATCTGCTCCCGTCCACAATCTGGTGTCCTCAGTGCCAGAGGGGTCCTGGCCATTCCCTACCTCAGTTCCTCCCTCCTCCAGGACCAGCCTGAGCTCAGGACATGGGAATGAATGACCCATGTTTTCCCTGGTGGGTTCCGTGCCCAGTGGTTTCTGCCTCATCAGAACCTTCTCAGGCTACAGGGATAAATTCCTGGCTTCTTTGTTCAACCCTTTGTTTTCTTTGTCCCCACCTCAGGAGATAGTGGCACAAACCATGAAGAGGAGGCAGCGAAGAGAGTGGGAGGCCCGGAGGTGAGTATGCACTTCAAGCAATACCCTGTGCCACGAAGCCCGCAATCCCTGTGGGATACCTGTGTTTTCCATGGGGCCTGGATACATTTTTTTTTTTCCATTTGAGGAGAATTCGTTTAGTTTAGAAACTTCAGGGTCGGTGGCTCCAGGAGTGAGCATGTGGCCCCTGCAATGGAGAAGAGCTCTAGGTCCCCTCTGTATCACCCTGTGGTCTCACAAGTGGCAGGACTGCGCCCAGAGGTCACCCAAATACATGCTGTTAGGGGTGAGAGCCCCTTGTCTTTTATTTTTGTAGTTTTCCAGATGTACTTTTATTTGTAAGTTCTTTACAAATGAGATAGATGCTAATTGTGTAAAGGTTTTCATAGAAAAAAAGTATGTGAAAAGGAAACCGAATTATTCATAATTCCTCTCCATATTGCAAATTTAAAAAGTAAAGTACTCTAGGGCACATGGGTGGCTCAGTTGGTTGAGCATCCAACTCTTGGTTTCGGCTCAGGTCATGATCTCACGGTCATGGATCAAGCCTTGCATCTGGTTCTGTGCTTGGTAAGAGTCTGCTTCAGATTCTCTCTCCCTCTCCCTCCTGCTCACTCTTTCTCAAATGAATAAATGAAATCTTAAAAAAAAAAAAAAGTGAAATGCTTAAAAAAAAAAAAAAAAAAGGGCTCCTGGGTGGCTCAGTTGTTGGGTGTCTGCCTTCGGCTCGGGTCATGATCTCTGGGTCCTGGGATTGAGCCCCGCATCGGGCTCCCTGCTTGGCAGGGAGCCTGCTTCTCCCTCTTCCCCCTGCCTGTGCTCTCTCTCACTATTTCTGTCTCTCTCTCTTGAATAAATAAAATCTTTATTTTTTTTTTTAAGAATTTATTTATTTATTTGACAGAGAGAGACACAGCGAGAGAGGGAACACAAGCAGGGGGAATGGGAGAGGGAGAAGCAGGCTTCCTGCTGAGCAGAGCCTAATGCAGGGCTCGATCCCAGGACCCTGGGATCATGACCTGAGCCAAAGGCAGACACTTAACAACTGAGCCACCCAGGCACCCCGAATAAATAAAATCTTAAAAAAAAAAAAAAACTGGAAAGGTTAGTGTAGCTTGAGGTGACCAAGCAAAAGTGCTGTTGAGCTGAGAACTCCTTGCTGGATCCAGTCCTTGAAGGTCTCAGCTGTTCCAGCTGAGGGTGTTGTGCTCAGCCACCCCCTCATGGAAGGACAATGAAATACCATTTTGGGAAGTATAAGGAAAGAAAAATGAATATAATCCACATTCACCGATTGGAAGAGATTCTGACTTTGGATCAATCTTCCTGGGGTATCCATACTTGTGCATATTTTATATGATCATAATAGGCACCTAATTTTGCATTTTTTCACTTAATATAACCATTTTTGATAGTTCCAAATAATCTGCACTGTGCTTACTTGGCCAGTTCTCTTCTTTTTTGAACTAGAGTTTACTTCCAGTATTTTGCCATGACAAGTAGAGCTACAGTGAACAACCTTGTACACACAGTGCTTTCTTTCTTGTCCCTTTGAACTGTTGTCTTAGGATAATTTCTTAGAAGTGGGATTCTGGGACTGTTCTATGCCGTTTTATGTCTTTTATTGCCACAAGCCTTTTATGTCAACATTACTCCCTTCCCTGCCCTGTACACGTACACTCTGTGAAAGAGTCCTTAAGTGGATGACTTAATCTGTCTCTCTCTGAGTACTGTCAAGTTTTAGCATTTTCCAAATGTTGGTCTTCCTTACACTGCTTCCTGTTGAGGACCTGCCTTTTATGTCGTTACAGAAGAGACATCCTCTTTGACTATGAACAGTATGAATATCACGGGACGTCGGTACGTACGGATAGGTGTACTTCACCATAGAGTTCTGGTTCTAGGGGTCAGTGTCCTAAAACATGAGGAGGAATGAGCATAGGTTTTAGAACCATGAAAGCCTGGTTTGAATCTGCGCCCCACAACTTCCACTGTGTGACCTAGGGCAGATGGGGCAGCCTCTCTGAGACTTAAGCTTCTCCTCAGTAAAAGGAAGAGAACTACCCTCATTTCCAAGGCAGTTCTTAGGCTGGTCCTGCACACCCAATAGGTGCCCATAGGACAGCAGCTATTATTTTTGTTGATCATCAAAAATACAGAACAAGTTTGTTTCAGTCTCTGTGCAAGAAGATAAAGCTCTAGAATTACAGAGGCCCATCACTGTGTGTTACAGAACAGAATTTCACATGGGAAACAGGTGTTGACTCTGGTAGTGTTGAGCAGAGCTCAGGGCTTTAAGGAGCCCTAGAAAATAAGTTTCCAGTAAAACATCATGTGTTTAGTACTAGCATTTGGCCCTGGGACCTTGAATTCTGAACACCATATTTCCAGTATCCCTTTTACTGTCAAGGTCCCATCATCCTTTGAAGGATCGTCTTTGCCCTCTCTGCTCTACCCCAGGACATGGAAAATTCTAAGCAGTGGGTGAGGCGGGTGGGGAGGCAGATGCCTGGCTCCCACCAGATTTGTGAACCATTCCCTTGGAAATCCTCTCTGGTGGGCAGCCCAGTGTCACACAGCTAATGGGACTTTAGAGTCTTCTGGTTGGGCACCGATCCCTCTTGTTGTCTCCTACCAAAACCCAGACTCTGCTCACAGGGAGCTAGATGCTTCTGCCTGCAGACAGGCCTGTTAGAAAGATCTTCCTCACAGAGGTCCTGAGGCATCCTCCCTCTTTAATGTCCAGGTAATGGGAACCAAGGCCCCGCCTCACCCAGCCTTCCTGGGAGTGTGTGTGTGTGTAAGGCCACCAGCCAACTGGGAAGAGCATGTGGACATAGGCCCCAACCTCCTGGCTTCAGTGCCTCCCCACGTATCACTGAGGTACCCGGTGAGATGTATAGAGGCTCTAGCACAGTGCTGTACCCAGATGTTCTCCCTTGCATGATGAAGTGTGCACACAGGAATGACTAGTTAGCAGAGGAGACCGTGCAAGTCACCTGAGTTACTCTGTCTTCTATCCTCAGTTTGGCCTTCCCTATCCACCCATGCTTCCTTCCTAGCTGGGAAGACCTTCAGTCTGAAGGGGCTTGGCTGGGATCCTAGACAGCTCAGGTCTGGCCCAGCTGTGCAGCCCAGCGCCCCCTCTCCCCCCGCCTTCCGTGAGCACAGCTGCCTCGGACCTCAGGCTTCTTTCTTTCTTGCAGTCAGCCATGGTGATGTTCGACTTGGCGTGGATGATGTCCAAGGACTTGAATGATATGCTGTGGTATGTAGGCCCCATCAAGACCAGTGCTGTGTAGAGCTTTCCTTCTCCAAGTAGCTCTGTCCTCCCACAGTGAGAACAGGCTCTGGAGGAAGACATCACTGTGCGGTTCCCACCAGGAATATCGGATACAGCCCATTTCCAGGAATTTGCATAGCTCTGGTTTTCTTTCTATGAGTCTCTTGGCTGCATACGAACTCCTGGGGGAAATAGGAGGGAGCACTGTTGGGTGCAGAGGGTCAAGGGTGGGGCCTGACTACAGCTCTGCCCTTCCCACCCTACCACTCAGCTTTGCTGCCTGGTAAATTTGGGTAACAGAAGAAGCATGAGATTTGAACAAGACAGCCTTTGCTAGGCATCTTTGCACCCCTGATGTATGGTGAAATCTGGTACAGGAATACCCATTAGCCCACCTCTGAGTTTGCTACATGGGCCGTAAGCACAAGTGCTCAACACAACCTAGGTTGGTTTAGAAACTAAAACCAGGGTCTGAGCAAAGGAAATCGAGATCTGGCCTGCTCCACCCCCTCAGCCCTCTGCTCCAGTCCTGGTTTTCTCCTCCAGGAGATAAGGAGAAATCTCCTGGCCCTGAGCCCACGGTGGGAATTGTAATGGTATTTGCTGAATCAGGGTTTTAGGACAGCCCGGGGCTGGGACAGGACCGAGGCACTGGCCACACCTAAGCCCAGGGGTGCTCTGTACTCACCCTGAGCTGGTGTCCAGCTGTGGGCCCACTTGTCATCCTTGGACACCTGGCTCAGCTCTCTTTGCCTCAGGTCCTTCTCCATGGTGTGCACTGACAATCCCATACCCTGGCACAGGGGCCAGCTTGTGCATCAAGAGATCTTGCAGTAAGGTCAAGTCGGAGCCCTGTACTGTGTCCTGTAGCCACAGCATGTGACTGCCACGTCGGCATTGGGGAGCCTTTGGTGAGCACCTGCTGTATGCTCAGGTGCCCACTCACGACAGCCCACTCACAACAAGCACCCCCAGTTTAGCATTGATGTCAGAATATGCCCCTGTGAAATGTCTCCAGAAAACTCCAGAAACAGCACAAGGACAAATGCAAAGTAACCTGGTACAAAATGTATGCGTGGAAAGGTTGGAAGGAGGAAGGGTGGGTCGGGGAAGACATAGCAGGGTGGCATTTTTTTAAGAGGACCCTCTGAGGAGGGGCTCACTGCACTGAGAGATATGGTGCTTAGACACCCTGCCCCCAGGCGAACCTTCCAGGGCCTCTCCTGCCTCACTTGCACCCAGCATCTCTGGCTATTCTCAGCTCTGGCCCCAGAGGAGGGTCTTGAAGGACGCAGCCTGGGGACTGACCTAGGGTACACACCTGAGGTCCTGGTCCCTCCTGCCATGGGCTGGCCGTGACCCAGGTCAAGCCAACCTGGGTCTCCATTATCATCTCATGCACAACAGATGAGCTAAGAGACAGGACCTTGGAAGGGTCTTAAAAGGCCTAAATGCTGTTACTCTGTGTGCCATCATTTCAAGACAGGGAGACATGGGCGTGATGAGGTCTGCTGTGCTGCAGGGCACATTGCAGAGAGGGCAGGTGGCACAAGGGGCTTGGAGGTAGAATGACACGCCAGGACCCACCAGCGCCTGAATATGGTGTCTGCTATAGTCCCACTCCAGCAGGATGAGGGTGGAGAGTGGTGGGGTCTGCCAGGACACAGCGACAGCGTCAGACCTGCCGTCCTTGCCCTGGGAGATCTTCCTCCTGGGTCCCGCAAGCTCCCACGGCAGTGACACTGTGCTGGGAGCCCAGAGTTGGCCCTGTGACCTTTTTACCCTGCAGAGGAGAGACTGCCTGTCCGACGGTGGGCCTGGGCCGGATGCTCCTATGAGCTTTGTTGCTCTCTTCTCTTCCAGGTGGGCCATCGTTGGACTAACAGACCAGTGGGTACAAGACAAGATCACCCAGTAAGAATGTGCTCCCTTGGGCTGTCCGAGGTTGGCCTGTGCTATGGCCATGTGCATGGCCTGGCTACAGCCCCAGTTTGCAGTGGGAAGATGGGTGGCAGAGCTCTGTTGAGGAGAGAGCTGGCCTTGGGCCTAGGTCCTCGTCACTGAGGAAGGGCTTAGGACCTGTGGTGGAGTGGTGTGTGGCCTGGTGTGGATGCTTTGTCCACCCTTGGGGTGCCCAGCAGATGGAGCCAGAGGTGAGAGGAGGGAGCTCGGTCTCCTGGCTCTCCATATGCCCTTGCACGGGGCTGGGAGGAGGAGGTGAGGGCCCCAGGAATCCTGCCAGGGAGGGTGGATGTGATCTCAAAGGCAGGGGAAGGTTGGCAAGGACAGCCAGGAGGACTGGCATGGAGCTGAATCCTCTTTTGCCTCTCGGTGGGCAGACTTTGGTGCTCCCTGTCAACCCTGATGGAGAGCTGAAGGGCTACCCCAGAATGTAGACACTGGGGAGGCATGGGGTACCGGCACCCCCTCTCATCCCCATTCTGGTGGCCATCAGGTGGGAACTCCAAGGGAATCAACAGGGATCCATACCCTAACCCTGTCCAAGGGCACCCTAGCCTGTCACCTGGCACAGCTTCTGTGCATACTGGACTCCTTGTGCAGTTTGCAGAGGCCCCTGTGTCCCCATTTCCTGCCTCTCCCATCCCACTCTGCCCACCTGAGTCCTGCAGTATAGCCCAGGGACCAGGAGGGTTCTGAGTCTCACAGGCCTGGACACGTTGCTGGGCCTTGCTCCCCCTTCTGTGTTAAGGATGGCATGGGGTATGTGCAGTGACGGGCACCATCCTTGACCTGTGGCAGCCCCTCAGGTGAGGCTCTACTGTCACTGTCCTGCTCAGTGGCCACCTGCAGGTGGACCTGGACTGGGGTTCTGCCCTCCCCTGCTGTGCTCCGGAGCACTTCCTGTGCAGGATCCACACCTTCTGCTGGGATTACTGACACTATGTGATCTGTCCACTTGACCGTGGCTGGTAGACGAGGCCATGGCCTCCACAGTGCCCGCCCTTAGGAGGCCTCAAAAAAGTAAGGACAGCTGCCGCCCAGAGGAGACTGCAAAGGGGACAAGGACACAGCCAGAGCCCACCCCTCCCAGCTCTGTTGCCTCACACCCCTGGCCGCCAGGCCCTGGTGCTAGAGCCACACTTGGCTTCTCCACAGTGGTGGTGGAGCTCCGTCAGTCCTGGCAGAAACAGCCCGTGTGGTGGGCCAGCCCCTGAGCCTGGGAGGGGGGGGCCCCACCCCCCGAGGGAAGGAGGGAAGCCGCGTGGCCGGCTGTGAGAGAGGAAGGCGCCCACCTAGGCGGCTGGCGGGTCTTTCTTTCCAGGATGAAGTACGTGACCGACGTCGGCGTCCTGCAGCGCCACGTGTCCCGGCACAACCACCGGAATGAGGACGAGGAGAACGCCCTCTCTGTGGACTGTACGCGGATCTCCTTCGAGTATGAGTATCCTTGCAGCTCAGGCCTCGGTTTTGCTCAGCAGTGCACCCGTTTGCTGTGTCACGGGTCTGTGGGCCCAGCCCACGTCCCGCTGTGGGTGGTGTGGATTATGCTGCTAGGGCTGCCACGAGAGAGGGGCACTGGTGTGCCCTCCAGGCTGGGCAGAGTACCAGGGACTGGGGAGCAGCCTCTGTCCTGGCTTTTCTGTGGGGCTTTGGCTCCTAAATGCCAGTGCTGGGCTTGGGAGCATCATCTATTTATTTAGGGCTCATTGTGGGCCCGGTGTGTGTGGGCAGGTGCATATGCAGGGCAGGTGGTTTAGCAATGAGTGCAGACTCTTGCCAAGCCAATCAGGAAGAAGTAAGCCAGCAGATGATCACAGAGCATAAATGTTTCATGAGAAGAAGGTAGGGCATTGATAGAATAACCAGGGGCTTGTTGGGTGGCAGTGCTCAGGAAAGACCTCTGGGAGGCCACGTCTCAGACTGAGACTTAGCCATACTCCATGGGAGGGAGGACAGCCTGGGCCAAGGCTTTGGCTGTGCAAAGGCCCTGAGGTAAGCTTGAAGAAGTGGCTGGAAAAATGGGTGAGGTCTGAGGGTCAGAGAGCCTAGGGCAGTGGGTGGTTGAGGGGGTTGGGGAGTTCAGTTCTTTGTGCTTAAAAGGTCCCTGGGCTGCTGGTTGTTGGGGAGACAGACTGTGGGAGCCACAGGCGCAGGGCATGGCTGGGGCCTGGTGGCTTCAGTGGTGAGAAGTGATGGCAGGGATGATGCTGCCCTGTGCCTGCTGCGATGGATGGGGACCAATAAACATGGGTTTAGACAGGCCAAGTAGGAGGTGGCCATGACACGTCTAGGAAGAGGTGCCGGATGTGAGGCAGCCGAGCTCGCAGGAAGGGGGACCCACCAGGACCTGACATAGCGACGTCTGGGGATCAGGGCCTGGCCATCAGGAGGGATAGCCCAGGGCATCAGATGCAGGCAGAGCCAGCCGGGCCTCCCGCTGAGACCCTTGGAGTAGGAGACGAGAGGCATGCGGGGGACAGGACTATCCTCACACACAGCCTCCCTCGCAGCCCCACCAGCAGTAAACGGCATGTTTGGGGTGAGGATGGGCTTTGCTCAGGGGGTCCCGGCAGAGGGACGGGTGTGGGGGAGGGCCGAGCTAGTTGGAGCATGCAGGGAGCAGAGGGGATGACAGCCTGGAGGCCACGAGGACTCTTCTGTGTTACCACAGTACATAGACTCTCAGAACCCCTCCGCCTCGGTTTCCCTGTCAGTCCAAGGGGGATAATGGTGTGTGCGCACCCCCTTCCAAGCTCTCTCTATGGGTCAAATGAAGCTAAGAAAGTCCAAGAACGCCAGCTTACCCGTGTGGTGAGTGGCTGTGTAGGCAGGCTGCCCCGGGACGGGTGGGCCGCGCACTGTGAGCTGCGGGGTGCCACCCAGCCACAGCCTCCTTGACTGGCCACAGCCTCCGCCTGGCGCTCTACCAACACTGGTCCCTCCATGACAGCCTGTGTAACACATGCTACACCGCGGCCCGGTTCAAGCTCTGGTCTGTGCACGGGCAGAAGCGGCTCCAGGAGTTCCTCGCCGACGTGGGGTGAGTGACCCCCTCGGCCCCCAAGGGAAAGGTCCCTCCCCTTCCTTGTGACCGATATCCAGCGGCTACCTGTTTCGACCAGAAGCGCCTCACCTGGAGACCCCAGGATATCATCCGAATCTCATCCCTTGTTTGCATGTGCTGGGTCCCCTCAGGGTGCTTTTCGTGCTGCTGGCGTTTAGTGATCTCCCATCTGAAGCCAGGTCGCCTGTGTAACCAGTGCTTGTCATCTTTCCAGCCTCCCCTTGAAACAGGTGAAGCAGAAGTTCCAGTCCATGGACATCTCCTTGAAGGAGAATTTGCGGGAGATGATCGAAGAGTCTGCAAATAAATTTGGGTAAACGTGTTTTTCTGGATTAAGCTTCGTTCAGGCTTCAGCTTTAGCCACACTGCTAAAATAATGCAAAAACAAGAATGCACAAATGAGTGTGACCTGTCTAGCCTTTCCCAAAGTTTTGAGTTCTCTTTGGGTTAAAAGTAGGTCCAGGGCTAGAGAAGTCCAGGTCCTTAAATCCTGGGGCTGAGGGGCAGAACCTCTAGTTTGACCTGGTCTGTCCTTCACTGAACACAGGAAATGGCCCTGGGAAGGGCCTACTGGGGCCAAGTTCAGGCAAGCTCTGCCTAGAGGGTTCTTTGCCTGCTCCTAGCGTCCTGGGACGTGGGAGGGGGCCACACACATATCCCTGCTTACCCCCAACCAGTGAAACAGCTTTGGACAAGGCACTCAGTGCCCTGGGTTACAGTGCTGGGATGTCAGGTCTTCTGACCCCCTGCATTCTGGGACCAGCATAGTCTTGCCATGAGCATTAGCAGGGGCCAGGGAGGGACAGTAGTACATCGCCTGGCCTGGCAGTGAGAGCTCACCCACAACTTGAGAGTAGGGATGACAGCCGTGTTGCTTCCTCCCACTGCAGGATGAAGGACATGCGTGTGCAGACTTTCAGCATTCACTTTGGGTTCAAGCATAAGTTCCTGGCCAGCGATGTGGTCTTTGCCACTATGTCGCTGATGGAGAGTCCCGAGAAGGACGGCTCAGGGACCGATAACTTCATCCAGGCTCTGGACAGTCTCTCCAGGTACTGGGTGTGGCTATGGGCTGCTGTCCCCTCCCCCCGCCCCCAACAAGCCACGTCTGGCCCTCAACCGAACACTCTTCAGGGAGGCAGGTCACAGGGACCCCAGGGTGTGGTGGTAACTGTGTCCTGCAGAAACTGAATCACAGTCCACCAGAACTAGGGGTGCATGTGACACATTTCCTATCTATCTTCAGTGTGCCGTCATTTCCTCTTGAATCCTTTTAATCTTCTTTCTTTTTGATTTAAAAAAATTTTTTTTCACCTCCTTTTCCCTCTTCAGTCATTATTAGTGACGTTTATTCATCCTTGTGTTTTTTCTAATTTAATCTTCATTTATCAATTATTTCCCTTTTATTTCTAATTTTTTCTTATCTCATTCCCTGAGATGTCTTGTTTTATTATTATTATTTTTTAAAGTCTCTTAGCTTGCTTTGAAATAGAACAATACAATGTTGACCTTTTGGGGACGTATCTTTCTAGAGTACTTTCGTTGTCGATAGAGATGCTCTTCTGCTCCTTAGTCCCTTTTTTCTGATAGTAACTTTGAGAGGATTTGACCTTGGTCCATTGCTCGTTTTTGTGTGTGAATTTCACTTCCCTGACTTTTTCAGAGGAGGCATGACTCAGACAGCTTTTCTAACTTCAGAGAATTGCCACTCTGTCCCTTTTGTGCGGTGTTAAAAAATGTAGGGGTCTGCTCTCTGGGGGTTCCTGGCCCTGTTCCCTAGCATACTTTTTTTTTTTTTTTAAAGATTTTATTTATTTATTTGAGAGAGAGGATGAGAGGAGAGAGAGAGAGCACATGAGAGGGGGGAGGGTCAGAGGGAGAAGCAGACTCCCTGCCGAGCAGGGAGCCCGATGCGGGACTCGATCCCGGGACTCCAGGATCATGACCTGAGCCGAAGGCAGTCGCTTAACCAACTGAGCCACCCAGGCGCCCCTTAATTTTATTTTTGCCTGCTCATTGCTATTGCATAGAAATACAGTTGATCTTTGTATATTGATCTTTATCCTGCAACATTACTGAATTTGTTTAATAGCTCTAATAGTGTTTTAGTGTATTCCGTGAGATTTCATGTATACAAGATTATGTTATCTGCAAATAGAAATGGTTTTACTTCTTCCTTTCCAGTCTAGCTGCTAGAACCTCCACTACTAACCCAGTGCATTTTTATCTATACCTTCTTTTTCCCTTTGTATATTGTCTCTGTCTTACTCAATTTTTATTCCATTCTCAGCACTTTTTCCTCACTGTGGAAAGGAGCCCTGGCTGGCCAGGTGGGACACTGGAGCTAGACTGCTCTGGCCCCCTCATCTTTACCATGGCCCCTTGCACTGTACCACAGCTCCTTGCACTCACCTCCTCTTGGACAGGGCAAAACTCTCACTTTGGGCTGCTGTTTCCCAGTTGCCTGGAGTTTTTCATCGTTCTTAGATCTTGCTGCTTCTCAGCTCCCTCCCACACTGACTCCAGTGATACACCAGTCTTGTGGCTAGTGGTGGTCTGTTCCCCCTGCTTATATTTATTTTGGGGTCTGTAGTGTTCCTTTATTCTCTTGTTTTGTTGTGAGAATCCTAGATTTTTGGTTTGCAATGTGGTTGCTCTACGTATGTTTATCTAGAAATTTGAGGAAATGCCATAACTATAGTATCAGCTGTTGCTGCCCTCATCCCAGAGTTGATGGAGCAGTTTTAGACATTGTCTACTGACTTCTTGCTATGACAGGACATTTATTCCTCTTTTGTGCTCCTCCCCCTCCTGTGGGTACAGTTATGCCACTATTTGTAGCTCCTTTGTAACTGTAACATACTTACACCTTGTTCTATCGCCGTTGTCTCTTGTCTCCCTACTTTGTAAGAAAAAGATATTAGCATCCTTACTTTTCTCTTTCCCCATGCCTTTCACTTTGTGAAATTTATGCTTTTACATTTTCGTGGTTAATAACACTTAATCTTGGGTTAGAGAATAAAATGCAAGTCATCTCATCCTTGGCTATAGATAGAGTCTAGAAGATGAAAATCAATAGTGTTAGTTTGTTGTGTTAATAAAATAGTCACTCATGTGCAGTGATTACCTTACTTTCTGGTACTGCTCTTTGCTTTTCCTGGAGATCTTAATTACCTTCTTTATCATATCCAGTTTTTTTCCAGCTCTCCTTCCAGGAGGTATTCCCTGAGTCCCTTTTGTCTGGGAAAGCCTGGGGTTCTGTCTTCTGACATTAGCCTGGACCTGCAGTTCTCTGTGCCTGTTGTTTGCTGCCACCACTCATGGCCCTTGACTGTGCCCTGGATTAGAGCCAGTGTTTCTTAGGATCCTTATCTTTGGTTTTTTCACTCTTTCATTTTGTTAGAGCACAATTCCCAAGTAACTTTTAAAGAAAGAGCACATGTGAAATAAACGTTCTTAGTTCTTGCATATCCGACAATATCTTCGTTCTGCCCTCATCTGGTTCCTGGTATAGCTTATTTACAATTCAATGCTGAAGGTAATTTCCTGTTGAATGTGGATTCCATTGCTCCCCTGTCTTCTAGCAGCAAGTATTGCTAATTGAAATCTGAGCCATCTTGGTTCTTGTTTCTTTGTAAATGCACTCCCATCCCACCTAAAGAAGCTTGCAAGATTTTTTCTTTTCTTTTCAGTGTTCTGTGATTTCATCGTGTTGTGTCTAGGGTGGATTTTGTTTCATGGATTGTACTGGCTTCTCAGGCGAGCCCTTTCCATCCAAAGCCCCAGATTTTTCAGCTTAGGCATGCTTTTGTACTATTTCTTTATTACTCCTCCCACACATACATAGGTGTTTTTTATTCTTTCTTTCCTGGCTTCCTGGAACAATGCTGTCTCTGATTTGTGCCTTATGTTTTCCATGTCTGTCTTGTTACTGATGCGAAGGAAGCTTCTTGACTTTATTCTCTAGTCTTTGAGTGAATTTTTAATTTTTTTGCAGTCACTTTACTTTCCACAAATACTTCAGTTTCTGATTATTCCTTTCTCATGGCATCCTGTTAGTGGTTTACGAATTTCTTTTTTTTTTTTTTTTAAAGATTTTATTTATTTATTTGACAGGGAGAGACACAGCGAGAGAGGGAACACAAGCAGAGGGAGTGGGAGAGGGAGAAGCAGGCTTCCCGCCGAGCAGGGAGCCCGATGCGGGGCTCGATCCCAGGACCCTGGGATCATGACCTGAGCCGAAGGCAGACGCTTAATGACTGAGCCACCCAGGCGCCCCTTTACGAATTTCTTAGTTGCCCAGTCTCTTTGAAGATATTAATTAGAGTTCATTTTAAGTTTTCTTTTGTTCTCCAAATCATCTCTGTTTCATCTAGGGTCATTTTTTCAGGGCACAGGCATTTCCCAAATGTCTGGTGGTCTTCACTTTCAAAAGGGGGGCTGTGGAAGCCTGGTGAGGCCCTGGGTCTTGGGGCATAGCCTGCTGGCTACAAGGCATTGCTTCATCTTGGTGGGTGGGGAGCCAGTATGACACTTTGGGACTCTTAACTTCTGGATACACTTCTCCACAGAGAGTTCATTTTAATGTATTTAGAGGAGAACCCTCCTTTCTTGGGGAGGATAAAAATCCACCCATCAATGCGGGGGGGGTTCCCTGGTCCTCCATTTGGGCCTTGCCCTGGCCCCTCTGTCAGAGTCCTCTGGGTACTTTCCAGGACCTGCTGGGCAGTGTCTTCCCTCTGTTGGCTTTCAGTTTCCTGTCTTCTGATGCCAGGCACCCCTCTCCATCTTTTGTACTGGTCACTGTAGGTTTATACATGTTTTAATCATTTTTCTTTCTTTCTTTCTTTCTTTTCTTTCTTTCTTTCTTTCTTTCTTTCTTTCTTTCTTTTTCTTTCTTTCTTTTTAGAGAGAGAGAGAGCATGAGCGGGGGTGGGGGGTGGGCAGAAGGAGGAGAGAAAATCTTTTTTTTTTTTTAAAGATTTTATTTACTTATTTGAGAGAGAAGGAGAGACAGTGAGAGAGTACAAGCTGGGAGGAGAGGGAGAAGCGGGCTCCCAGCAGAGCAAGGAGCCCAATGAGGGGCTCGATCCCAGGCTCGATCCCTGGGATCATGACCCGAGCCGAAGGCAGACGCTTAACTGACTGAGCCACCCAGGCGCCCCAAGGAGAGAAAATCTTAAACAGGCTTCACACCCAGCATGGAGCCCAATGTGGGGCTCAATCTCACAACCAAAACCAAGAGTCAGACGCTTAACTGACTGAGCCACCAGGGACCCCTAATCCTTCCTTGCATATGATAGGGAAGGCAGGAGGAAAAGAATGAAACTCATCCCCACACACCCCCCAGGAACCAAGTGTTCTGTTTGTGACTCTGTGCCAAAGTTGTGTGTCTGCCCCGTTACAGGAGTAACCTGGACAAGCTCTACCATGGCCTGGAACTCGCTAAGAAGCAGCTGCGAGCCACACAGCAGACCATTGCCAGCTGCCTCTGCACCAACCTTGTTATCTCCCAGGGGCCCTTCCTCTACTGCTCCCTCATGGAGGTCAGGCTTCCCATGGATAGATGGGTACCAGGCCACGCCTGCCAACAGCCCCCTCTGACTATCTCTATGTCCTCCCCCTGCAGGGCACTCCGGACATTGTGCTATTTTCCAAACCAGCGTCCCTGAGCCTGCTCAGCAGACACCTGCTCAAGTCCTTTGTGTTTTCGGTGAGGAGCTGGGTAGATGGATGCCAGAAGGTAGAGCCTCAGAGCAGAGCTTGGACTGGGCATTAGAAGCTGGTCTTGGGGTACTGTGGCTATGTACCAGCTGTGGGGTCTGGGAAAAACTCAGTTTTTCTGAGCTATGTTTTCCTTAGCTGACCCTTAGGATCTCAGTTCCTGTAAGCTCTGATTTCATCAGTTGGTCCTCCTGGTCACTTGGACAAGTACAAAGGGACCTCATGGAGTATGTGGGGCTAGGGCTAGGTTCAGCTGTGGCAGATCAAGGAAAGATGAAGCTGGTGATAGCACAGACTTGCTTCCCAGCAAAAGCTTGTTTTCTGGTCTGGCTTTCCCTTTTGCATGTGTGGTTCTGTCTTCTGTACCGCCTAACACCCTTCTTTGCCTTGGCCTGGGACACCCCTCCGCCCCAACCCAGCTAACATCAGACTCCCCACTGGGTATGATCACAGAAAGGATGATCCCTCACATTTCAACAGTCAGAGTCTTACTTCACTTCCTGGATGAGGGTTTACACTGGGGGCTACTTTAAACAAATTGTTTAATAGGAGGTTGACATCTCATATTGCTGAATTGACCTATAAAATGATTATCTGAGGATTATGTGAAGACAGTCAAATAATGACAAAAGATGGACTAGGGACAAAACATGAGCTCGCAAGTCTTCTAGGCTCTGTTCAAATCTCAGCCTCTTCCTTTACCAGTTGTGTGATATGAGGTCAATTATTTGATCTCTGAGCCTCAGTTTCCTCATCTGCAAAATGGGTGAATTTTTCCAGAGGGCCCATCATTTATCAGACTTTTTTTTTTTAAAGATGTTATTTATTTACTTGAGAGAGAGAGAGAGCACGAGCAGGGTGGAGGGGCAGAGGGAGAAGCAGATTTCCCACTGATCAGGGAACCTGACACGGGGCCGATCCTGGGATCAGGACCTGAGCTGAAGGCAGAAGCTTAACCAACTGAGCCACCCAGGTGCCCCTCACATTTCTTAAGCAACCACGACCAGCCAGGCTCTGATGTCATAGGATGACCAACTGCCCTGGTTCATGTCCTGGGATGCCCTTCAGTCCTGGACAAACGAGGATAGTCGGTCACCTTTGTTGTAGGGTGTGGGTACAATGGGTACAGCAGTGAAGGAAGCACCTGAGTCTCCATGTTGAGGGAGTATGCATGCTGGCAAAGGGGACAAATGAGGAAAGATTATGTGCAGTGTCAGATGGTGGCACACACCATAGACAAGCTGAAGCAGGATGAGAGAGAGGGTTGGTTGGGGAAGGCCTCCTGGAGGAGGTGACAACTGAGTCAGGACCTAAAGGAGGTGAAGGAGGGAACAGCCAAGGGACATTGGCACAGAAGGAGGCTGGGAACGGTATCATAGCCTGGGGGGGCAGCTGCATGGGGACTTGAGCATCTCTGGTGAGAAGAAGACCCGGGAGGCTTTTGGGGGGTGGGCGGCTGGCCCTGTTCGGCCTCCTAGGTGCTGAGTGGTGCGCTCCCTCCGTGGGGCCATGATGAAGGGTGCACTTTGCCTCCGCAGACAAAGAACCGGCGCTGCAAGCTGTTGCCCTTGGTGATGGCTGCACCCCTGAGTGTGGAGCAGGGCACCGTGACTGTGGTGGGCATCCCCCCAGAGACCGACAGCTCGGACAGAAAGAAGTGAGCCAGGTTTTGCATCTCCTGGGAGTTGGGAGCGCCAGGCTTGTCATTGGCCTGTGGGCTCTGCTGAGTTGGGTGATCTTGGCCCTCAACGCCACACCGAGGACAGCCTCTTCCACCATGCAGCAGGACTTTGAGGGTTTAGATATGTGGGCTGCAGGTTAGCCATTGAGCTACTACCTTACCCCTTGACTGGACTTTTGAATGCTTCTAGTTTGTTCAAGGCCTCCCGGGCAAGGGTGTCTGGCTCCCCAGGAAGACCAACGTCAGACCCACCTAGGATAGGCTACATACCTACAGTGAGGTGTGATTAGATGTCCTGACTCTATGTGGCCTTGGGCAAGAACCCCAGCCCTCCCTGGGCCTAAACCCTCTTCTGAAGAGCAGCTTATACTGAAAATCTGAGAGGTTTCAGGTCACCCACCCCAGAAATTAGGCTTCCCCTGCAAAGTTGCTCGAGACCAGCTCTGCGATGCCTTCAAAACCCTCATGAAAGATCATTCCCCAGCTTGTTTGGGCCTCACACTAACCTTTGAGGAGAGCTGGTCAGTGTCTCCCATCCTCACCCCCACCCTTGTGAGTCAAATTCATTGCTCACGGAATCCCAAATTTAGGCATTTGCCAAATACGTTTAAAAGTTCAGTTACGAGCTGACATACGAGAAACTGTTCAGTGTTGTGTGCAGGGATGTGCACCCCCAGACTGCCTGCCTGCCAGAGATTGCTACCGCACCCGAAGCTGAGCTCACTTGTGCCCCCACGGTTTGGGCGGCGGATAGAGGGTCCAGCTCCAGCCGCGCAGAAGCTAACACAACTGCTTAGTCACTCAGACCATGCGGTTGTGGCTGCCTGTTCTCCCTTGGCCTTTTCTTTATTTAGCATCTAGGAAACATTTTGGACTTCTATCGGCGGTGTAGTTCTGTTTTGTTTTCTCACCAAGCATCAGGCCTTTGTGCACATTTTTACGAAAGTGACTTCTAACAGTAGGAAGCCTGTTAAGTGGATGATGGTTTACCTGTCATCTCCTATTGGACGTTCAGGCTGTTTCCAACTTTATGTTTATAGACAATGTACTGGTGCATTTGTGAATGCAGAGGCTCATCTTGTACTTTTGAGAAGCTTCTCTCACTGTCTTCCCAATGTTTCCCCTCCATCTGTTGGCCTGGGTTCTTGCCCTGTTCCTGTAGCAAGGTCAGGTTTTCTCCTGCCCACTCCCATCCACACCTGGTGTCAGCCAGCAGGCTGGACCTTGAGGGGCTCCCTGGTTCTCCCTGTGGCTCCCTTCGTGCTCTGCCTGGCCAGAGAGCCCCCTGACTAATCCCAGGGGCTAATGTCACCATCCTTGGGGGTCTTTGCCTCCCTGGCAGAGTCAGTGCCCCAGGCTCAGTGCTCCCCAGCAACATCCCAAGAGGTGACCTTGGTAAGATACTGACAGCTGGCTGCAAGACACCCCACTCAGCTGCCCAGTGCTGTGGCTTGGGGGCCAAGGACCGCTCAGTGTCCTGTGCCTCTCAGTTTTCCCAGTTAGCTCTTATTGGCCTCTGCTGTGGAAGACACGGGTCTTGTATCTGGATCAATCCTAGCCCTGCTCTTGTGAGCTTTGACCTCCTTCTGTGTCTGCAAAGGCCATTTAGTAGCAAGTTGGGAGAAACAACGGACTTTTTTAAGATAAGTGCTTCCATGTTGCTGGGCTGCTTTCCAAAGCTATGCCGTGGGTCTTGGATTCATAGTCACACGGGGTGGAGCTGGCCAGGGGCTCCTGGCCTGGGTTCTCCAGGCAGCCAGCAAGCACTCCCCCCAGGGGCCAGCACAGCCGCCTGCGTCCTCACTCCAGCCATCAATTTGTTGCTGTACATGGCTGTGCTGGTCAGTGGTTAGCTCTGACTGGTGTGCACGGTCTCGTGTGAGAGTTACTGTGGGGGCTTGAAGCACATGCCCCTCCTCTGCCTCTTCTCCCAGCCCAAGAGTCCCTTCCCCATGATGCTCTCCGTCCACTGCCAGCCCTTACTACCTGCACAGCCCGGGGGGTGGGTGTGTGCTCCTGGCCGGCTCCCTGCCCCACACCTGCGCCCTCAGCAGCCCCAGCTGGGCTGCACCCTGGCCCTGCAGGCTCCTCCCATTCCCCACCCTGCTGTGTGTGACTCAATCTCATCTGAAACCCCCATCCCAGCACACTTCCCACTGAGCCTCTGCCTCTCCTGTCCCAGCTGCCAACACGGTGCCAGGCACGAGGGAGGCTGTAGTCAGGGTGCACCGTGGGAGGTGCCCAGGGACGCTGGTGCCCTGAGGGCTGCGAAGCGCTCTGCTGGATGCAGGCGGGAGCAGCAGTGAGAGATGGTGACTGTCCAGGAGTGGGGGTAAGACCTCAGAAGACTGGGGCCCAGGCAGGGGTACCAACAGGAGTGCCTACAGGCAGAACGGGTGGCCAGGGAGGAGTCTGGACCAACTCCAGTGTCTGTCCCAGGGATTTAGGGAGGTCCATTACAGTGGGCGGGCCCCCAACACACCTCTTCTGTGTCTACAGCTTTTTTGGGCGGGCGTTTGAGAAGGCCGCAGAGGGCACCAACTCCCGAACGTTACACAACCATTTCGACCTCTCAGGTAAGAGTCTGCGGCACTGGGGCACTTTCAAGGTTAGCACTGGCCTCGAACCAGGGAAGCTGGCATCACCAGAAATACCTTGTTAGCGCCCCTCTCACTTTCCTGGAGCCAGCCCCCGGGCCTGGCTGCTTCAGGTGGCTCAGGGAGCTCTAGGATGCGTGGGGCCCTGCGCCTCCTGTCTGGGCCCTGATGGGCTCCCAGGGCGAGGGGGAACAGGTGTTGTCCATAGAGCCATAGGCCTGGCTTTGGCCTTAGAGTCTAGCCCTTGAGACCACGTTCACCAAGGAGTCTGTAGGACTGGCCACTAAAGCCTCCTGGGCCAGCGTCACCCAGGGGTCACCTGCCCCCTCCTGTGGGCGTGGAAATAGCAGGGCCTGCGGCAACCCCCGGACACGGCCTCCGAGGCTGTGCTGGCCGCCACTGCAGGCCAGCAGCTCCTGTCTGTGTTGTCGTGAAGGGGCCCGCCTGAGGCTGCCACGTGGTCCTGTGTGACGGCCTGGGCACTGGCCCTGGCCTGATGTTGCATGAGTCCAGGGAATGGAAGAGCCCAGTCCAGGTGGTGGCTTCGCAGGCTGGCCAGTGCTCCCCGCAACTCCCCACAGCTTCTCCAGAGGCCAGCATGGAACATGGCTCACATTGGGCCACATTTGCTTTTTATTCTAGCTGATAGACTTTTAAGTAAAACAGACGTAGTGACCCCTCACGGCTTTGTATTGGTGTGCTTGGGCTGCCCTAACAACATACCATAGACTAGGGGCTTTAAACAACAGAAATCTATTTCTCACGGTCTGGAGGCTGAAGTCCAAGATTAAGGTGTACACCAGGGTCAGTCTCTTCTGAGGCCTGAGACCTCTCTCCTTAGCTTATAGGTGGCTGTGTTCTCACATGGTCGTCCCTCTGTGTCTGTGTCCTAATCTCCTCTTCTTATAAGGAGCCCAGTCAGATTGGATTAGGGCCCACCCATGTGATTTTGTTTAACCTAAACATCTTCAAAAGCCCCATCTCCAAATACAGCACATGCTGTCTGAGGTGCAGAGGGTTAGGCCTTCCACACATGAATTTGGGGAGAATAGTCCTCAGCCCATAACCCCCATCTGTCAGAAAGGACAGTTTCTTATGTCACATCAGCTGATTTGTTACAACGAGTCCTGGCATCAGAGACCCAGTGTTCACCCCAGCTGCCTTGGCATCTAGAGCTGCTCCTTCATGCCAGGCCCACTTGGGCTACAGCTCTGTGTTGGGTGGGTTCACCCCCAGCAGCAACACCCCCATTCCTACTTTATGCCCAAGATGTGGGAGAGGTTGGTGCTGGCCAGCTGCAGGATGTCCTGGCTTCTCAGAGGGAGGATTTATGGGCTGGAAGGTGCTTGGCTTCCCATGTGGGTGGAGAGCTGGGGGAGGGGGGTTGTACAACAGAGGGCAGGCCAGCCCCCACCTGGGTAGGCTGGGCCTGGGGTTCCTGGATCCATGGCCTGTGGCACAGATGGCTCCTAGGACCAGGCTGGCCTGGTTTTGCCCTATTTGATGAGGGCCCCTGGAAATGGGGGCAGTTCACGTCGTGTTTCCCTTCTACAGAGAGACTGGCCAGAGCAAAACTTCAGGCTAGCCTCCTGCCCGACCTCAGGGCCTCAGGCAACCCACGATGGAGCAGGGCTCTGTGTCCACCAGGGAGGGAAGCCCTGTCTTTGCCTGGATCTGTTCTAAACCGTCACATTCCTGTGTCCTCTCCACTGGCTGTCACTGCTGGTCCTCTAGCGGCCTGGAGGGTCCTCCCCGCAGACTGTAACCCCAGCCAGCCTCACTAACAGGGCAACCAGCAGTTTCTGCGGACTAAATACAGAGGACAGAGAAATAGAGCCTCTGAGTTCAGAATATTCCAGGCCACCAAAGGGCTGAGTACATTTTGGAATGTGCCGGAGGGTGGTTCCCATCTTGGATGACCGGGAAGAGGGAGTTAATACACCCTGACTTGTTTCTCCTCCTGCGCCTCACTCTCAGCCCCACTCCTCCACCTCACGAGATGTTTTTCTTTCATTACCTCAGTAATTGAACTGAAAGCAGAGGATCGGAGCAAGTTTCTGGATGCACTTGTTTCCCTCCTGTCCTGAGGGTGAGATGTGGGGGAGGGGTGGGGTGCTGGAGAGTTCCAGTGGGCACTTCAGGGGGGCGGGGGGGGCACTGCCACAAAGCTGGCCCTGCTGAAGTGTAAAGAGGGCCCCTCGTTCCCTGCTTTGCTTTCCCTGCTTTTTCCCTCCTCAAGCCAAGGCTTCTGCTTGCATTTCAGACCGAAGCAGGGCTCCTGAGGAGATTTGGGGTTTTTCCCAAGGGTGTCTGTCCCTGGGCTGGTGGCAGTGCCACAATGGGGCGTTTTTGAAGAAGCTAATTTCATTAAGCTCCTGGGACCCCTTCAGCAAGGGCTGGCATTTACCCTGTCCTGACCGCACTGTGGGCTGGGCATTACGAGTGACACGCACGCCTCCTGGCACTGCTGGGAAAGGAGGCGACCCTTGGCGGGAGCGTGGGCCCTGAAGCCTTGCCGCCCTTTGCAGCCTTAGATCAGGCCCTAGGCTAGAGCCCACAGAGGCTTCTACCCAGACTCTTGCGTGCTTGACTTAGGAGAAAACAAAGCTGTTGGCAGCCACATGGCTAATAACTAGAAAATGTCGTCTCTGTGGGCCTTGCCTGAGCGTGAGGCCGTCACTGGTGGTCCACAGCGATGCTCCCCGGCCAGGGCTCTTCCCAGTGCCACACATACCAGCTCTTTCTTGAAGGGCCCCTCAGCAGACGGGCCGGGGGGCCTGTTCTCTACCTAGTGCCCATTTCTCAGCCCAGGCCCCCCACACACATATATGGTGGATGCCCACACCCAGCCCTGCATCTCCTTGAGCCCTGGGCTGGAGCCGCTGCTGAGGCAGACTGGCCCTATCAAGGCTCTGATGTAGAGGGTCCCCTCATGCCAGCCCAGGGTCCTCCCACTCCCCTACCATCCATAGTGAGCTGGAAGGTGTGGAGGGCAGGTGCCCTTCCCCTGTTGGGGCCTCAGTGGGCTCTGCTGGGAATGGTATAGGGGACCTCAGGGATCCAAAGTCCCTCTTTCAGGGTCGGCTAGGGCATATAGGGCTCGTGTTGGGGTGAAGCTTTGGGCTCAGACCCTTTGGGTCTTCAGCAAGGTGTGTTGGGTACTTCACCAGGCTGTGGCTGTTTCCTCAACTGAAACGGGGCTGACACCCCTTGGACAGTGAGTGCTGAGCCTTAGGATGGGGGCAGGGTGTAAGTTTATGACCCAAATCAAAGGTTACAGGCAGGGGCTCTCGGGCAGGGGGCTGGTGTTTGAGGCCTCGCCCTTCCCTGCAGCCTGCTCGGAGATGACACCAGCACTGCTGTGTGTCCTGCCACCAAGACAGGGTGCAGGGTGGGCCAGCTGGGCAGGGGGAGGAGCAGTGTAGGGGAGATGCTCCAGGCAAGGGGAAAAGGCTCGTGAGGGCCCCATGGGGCTGAGGCAGGGTCTGCAAGGTGATATGGTAGTGGAGGGCCATGAGGCCCTAGGGGTTCTCAAGCAAATGACAGCCTGGACCCAGCCAGCGGGGTGCAGTGAGGCCGGTGGGCCACCTCAGTGGTTCTGGGGTGGCCCTCTACCCATGGTCACCACCCCTCTCCCCTGTGAGTGGTGACAGCTACTCAGAAGCAAGCCCAGCATGTCAGAGGGAAGGCCTGGACAGTTTATTTGTTTAATTCAGAGAGACATCAGAATTGTTGAAATTTACTTATTTTTTCTTTTCTTTCTTCTCTAGAGTTTGATCTCTGCAGACATGACCTCCTCCTTATTTATATTAACTGGGTTTTATTTAGACTGTAAGTTATGGACATAGTTTTAGATGCAGGGACAGTTGGTTTTTAATGGAATAAAATGTTCGTTTTAGTTTTGGTGCCTAGTCTTGGCTGTGGTCATAGGGCCAACACTTGTTTTTGTCCTGAGGTTTCTGTGGGTGCAGAGGAGCCTTTTCCTGTGCCCTGGGCGACGTTGAGACCCAGCAGTAAATAAGCATGGGGCGCGGCCTCCAGGCTCCTGGGAGAGCAGTGGGTGGAGGCCGGGCACCTCAGCACGTGGCCCTCCGCATGGCTCCTGCACCGACCACTGCCCAGTGATGCCATCCGGTACCTGGCTCTGCCCTCCCACCACTTATTCCTGTCCACCTGGCCCTGGCAGCAGCTCAAACCCACCCTCTTGACTGTGCCTCCTGTCCCAGTACCCTCCCCATCCCCACAGGCACACGGTACCCCCAGGCTACTGGGAGAGTTGGGCCGATAGCAAGGGCAAGGTGGCTGAGGGGCCCCAGAGGGAGATGGCTTCACCACATCCTGGTCACAGAAGGTTAAAACTGGACAGAACCTTGGCAACTTTCAAAGTCTTCAGAACAGCAGTTCTCAGGGGAGCTGTGCGATCAGCTGGTTCCACTCTCCCAGATGTCCCCAGAGCCCCTGCGAGGGTTGAGAGGATCTGGAGGCAAGGAGGATGCCATTCCTGCCCTTTGGGGAGGAGAGAGCTGTTCACACAGGTGGTTGAGGCCATCTGGCTGCTCTGCCTGGAGTAGGGATGCCAGGGAAGCAGGTAGGCTGGAGCGACACGGCCATCTGGGTGTGGCACCTGGGGCCTTGGGCAGGAGGAAGCAGAGTGGTTTGGGTAGGCTTTAAGCTGGTAAAAAGCCCAGAAACAGTGGCCTGGAACTGAGGAGACAGATGGGTGGGTCCAGGTCGCAGCGTGGCCCTTGGGAAGGGGTAGTGGGCACAGTGGGGTTGGCTGCACTGGAGGTCAGCTCCTCTTGCCTGATCTCTGGCAAATGGAGTGTGCCCCTGGCCTTCCTGGCATGAGTCAGGCAGCAGCAGCCTGACTCCCCAGGGCCCTAAAGCTGCCCAGCTTGACCATTTGCATCATTGGGACTGTGCAGCTTCCCTTCGGAATCCTGCTGATTCCTGGAGCCTGAAGGAACTGGAGAGCTCTGGGTTCGTGTGGGATGCAGCCTTGGGTGTGTGCTCCTGGCCAAACACCAGCCTGGCTGGCCTCAGGACCTTTGTTCCAGCAGCCCCACCAAGGCCCCAAGATCACACACTCTTGCACTTGAGGGCCGTTCGTGAGCCCTGCTGCACAGGCCCGAGGGGGGCTGCCATGAGGGGCTGCTGAGGACCTCTGTGCCATGGGACCCGTCTCGCTGCAGCTCATCCCATTGCGAGGAGCTCAGGCTATGGGATAGTTCATCCTCCCTTGAAGTCCAACTCCCTGGCTCTGCTGCAACTCCCGGGATTCAGGGCAGTGTTCATTGCAGCCGTCCTGAGCCCATGTCCTCAGGCTCCTCCCCTTCCTCACCGTGGGGAGCCTGGCCAGGCCTGGGAGACTCCTTGCCACTGGATTTGGCCCAAGCATTTCTGCAGAGGGCCCCCAAGGCCAGGTTTGGGGGCAGATGCCAAGCCCTGCTGGCTGGGTTTGGAGCTCCTCCCGACAGGCCCCACCTCCAGCCACAGCTCTCTTTTGTCCTAGCCTTTGGCAGAAAGTAAAACTGCATTAATTCAGAGTGCCTAGAATGGGGCTGGAAGCAATGAGCTCTCAGTGACTAACATAGCTCTGGTGTGCCCTGCTCTCCTGTGACCCCTAACACCCAGGTTCCTGGCCCAGGCCAGCACTGGCTCCCGGGGGCCCCACTCATGTGGGAGGAAGGTGACACAGGGCGCTTCCAGCAGCCTGTGACACGGAGGTGCTAATGGTCAGCACAAGTCTGGGCTGGCTGCCAGGCCAGCAAGATGAGCACAGGCCCTGCACAGAGCTGTGCTGAGACTAGCAGAAGAGCCAGGACCAAGGGGCTGGAGCCCTGCCCAGGCACTCTAGGCAACCTGCACAAGTGCCTCCTTCCCATAGCAACGTGCTTGTGGCCCGCCGCTAGCTCCGCTGGAGCCCAGCACACATCCTGGATTCGCCCCTGTTCCTGCTGCACCGTTAGCCGGAAGGTCCTAGTCAGTGTTTTACAGATGTCTGGCCATTTGGTGCAAGCCACAGATAGGCAAGACCTGAGAGGGCAGGGGGAAAACACCCAACCTGTGGTGCATGGAGCCAGCCTCTTCTCAAAGCCAGCAGCCTGGCAGCCCACCCTCAGCACTTCCTGCATCCAAAGACTCCACACTGGCTAGTGGCTGGGTGATGGGGGGTGGATTTCCAACCTGCATCCTCTCCTGGGGTCTGTGTCATCCTCTCCCCAGGCTCTTCTGACTACAGATCTCACCTTCCTGGGTTGCCGCAAACCGTAGCTGTGCTTCCCACCCAGTAGGAAGGTGACTGGGTGGCAGGGAGGGCCAGGGATCAGGCCATGAATCTTCTGGAACACAGGGGGAGTCCTGGGAGGTCTCAGAAAAAGCCTTTCAGGGAGCAGTTGGTGGGCGGGTGGATGAAGGGGGCTGCTGGGCACAAGTGGTGACTGGACAGAGGACAGGACACAGGTGGGAGGGTATTCAAACCATTTACTAAGCAAACTCTTACCCTCCCCACAAGCTGCAAAGGAGGGCAGGGCCCCAGCTCCACACTCAGGATCTGGTGCCCATAAGCATCTCCTGGGGAGCTGCTGGGGTGAGGCAGGGAGGTCCAGGCCAAGTCTTTTAGTCCCCCTGGGCTCAGGCCCCACTGATGCGGTAAAGGCCAGCTGTATACATCCCTCTGGCAGCCCAGGTTGGGACCCCTGGGCTCTCGGTCTGCCCCGCTGGAATCAGCTGGAGCCGCTGGGGAGGATGACGGCATCCAAAACCCTGAGGGTCCAGGAGGGAATTGGCGTTTCAGTCCATTGTCCACTCAGCCAAAGGGACACGCGCCCCACCCACATCGGAGCAAGCTCTGCGCACAGAAAAAGAAACCCAGCAAGTTCTCCCAAGTGCGTGGCTCCTGTTCAGGGCAGGGCGCGGCCCAGGGCCCGGCTAGTGGCTATTGGAGAGAACGGGCTGCGGGCGCGAGCAGGGTCTCAAGTCAGTCGGTGCGCCACGTCCAGGCACAGAGCCGGCCGTTCCTCCGTGCATGCGGGGCTTCCCTAGCCAGTCGTCCGGCTCGTGGGAGTGGCTAGCGCGAGGGGCCCCGCCGAGTCTGGCGCCCTCAGACGTAGTTCTTCTTGTCATAGTCGCCGGTGGCCGTGGGCCGCCGCGACGCGGAGTACTTGACTGGGAAGCTGAAGTCGGGGCGGCCAGCGCAGACCCAGGCGCCGCAGCACACGAGGCCGCCGCCGCACATGAGCAGCGCGGAAGCCGCCCAGCCGATGTACAGCGCCGCGCCCAGCTCATACTTCTGCGACATGGGCACCGTCGGGTCGTAGAACTCGCGGACCACGATGTTGGCGAACCAGCAGAGCGGCACGAGCGCCAGCAGCCCGCAGAGTGCGTAGAGCGCGCCGCCCGTGAGGGCCACCCGCGCCTTGGCCGGGCCGGGGGCCACGCAGGTGGTGCACTGAGCGCCCGCCAGGGTCACGAAGAGCGCGACGAGGGCCAGCAGCACTGCGCCCACGGTGAGCGCCCGCGCCGCCTGCACCTCGGTGCTCAGCGCCAGCACCGAGTCGTACACCTTGCACTGCATGTGCCCGGTGCTCTGCACCACGCACGACATCCACAGCCCCTTCCAGGTGGTCTGCGCCGTCACGATGTTGTGGTCCAGGAAGGCAGTCACCTGCCACATGGGCAACCCGCACGCCAGGATCAGGCCCACCCAGCCCACCAGGCACAGCACCAGGCCGAGGATCTCCAGCGCCGCCGACCCCATGGCTGGAGGCGAGACGGGCGCCCGACGGCCCCGAGCCTCCGGGCGGGGCGCGGCGGTGCCTCGGTGGAGCGGCTTGGCGCCCTGAACGGGCCCTGGTGCCTCTGCGCCCCGGCGCTCGGCTCACCGCCTCCTGTCCCCGGCCCCAGCAAGTCTGCAGCACAGCCTCGGATCTGCGGGAGCCTATCGGGGGCTTCCTATTTGAAGGTTCGGGGGCGGACTCTGCCCCGCGGGCCCGGCCCCTGATCCCCGAACAGCCAATCCGCGCGCCGTCCATCGGCCCTTAGCCAATCACAGGCGCCCCCGGCAGCTGGAGTTAGGGAAACCGCTGGCCTGGGCGGGTAGCCGAGGGCCCCGGGACCGCTCCCTGCCCGGCCGCCGCCCCGAGCCCTTCTCCCGCTGTTGTCTAGAGCTCGTTCCGGACTGACCTGGGGTGGCTGGGCGCGCGCTCCCCGGGCCACCTCCCTGTGTCCCAGCCTCTCCATTTCAGGAGCCGCATGACTGCACCAACTTCCCCCGCTACATCCCGGAGTTGAAGAGAGTGAAGGTCTTTACCACCCAGGCCAGCTCCGCTCTTGCCTGGCTAAGGTCTGCGGGAGCCCCCCACCATCACCGTCGCGCGGAGGTTTGCCTGAAGGACTCTTGGGCCCCTTTTCCTGGGTTAGCCAAGCACAGCTCGGCCTATTACTACAGGAATCTCGCCCTGGAGTCCAATCCCATCCCCGACCCCTTCCCCGCGCCCTTACTGCGCGGTTCCCCTCTGAGTCCTGGCATTATGTCTCCCAGAGGCCAAGAGGCCAGCTGTGCGGGTCAGGCTGAAATCTCCAGCCCGCGGTCCTGACCAGCGCCACTGCCCAGCCGATCACCGCCTCGCTGGGGTCTGAGGCCCCAACAGGAAGCAGGTGGAACAGGGGCCTTACCACCACCTCCGGAGACCCTCACTCTGCACCCTGCCGCCGGGACTTCCCAGACCTCTCAACCTCTGCACTGCTGCTCTTCTTCCTGAGATGCTTCCCATCCCCCCATCCTTTGAGGCCCAGCTCAGGCGACACCACTTCGGGAAGTCCCCAGTGTTCTCCACTGACTTGACAAACTGGCTGTCCTCCTCAGAGCAGCCCGTGGCCCCAGGCTTGGGGGCCTACTCCAGCCCTCAGAGAGGAGAAACACAAAGGGACACCGAGGTGCTGTGCTCTGCCCTCCCACCAGTGGCAGTGGGACCCCTGGCACCCCAGGCCCTAGGCCACCCTCCGGAAGCCAACTTGGAGTTTCCTGGCCAGAAGGAAGAGCCCCCATCCTCGCTGGAGGCAGGAGGCTCGGGATTTCCGGGCATTCTTCTGCACAATGGCCCAGCCGTTTCTCGAAAGGCCCGCTGGGATGGACATTGAGCCCCCCTGAGACTCAGGTGGGGGCACCAGACCCTGCAGCCCAGAACCCCATGGGGCACCAGCCCTGTTCTAGCAGGTCCCTCCCCACTCCCCATCAGCCCTTTTGTTTCCAGTAAAGTCTGTACCCTGTCTTGGACTGAGGTGGCTGGGACCCTGGTTCTTTCCTCCGGTCCAAGGTGCTTGGCTCTGCTAGACAGGGCCCTCCAGAGAGAAGGTCTGACATCGAGGTCAACCACAGCCTAGGAGTTTTGATAAATCTGTCCCTCCTGGAACCCGATTCCTTCTCCCTCTGCCTATGGCTCTGAGATAAGGCCAACACCCTGTTCATCCAGCATGGGGAGGCACCCAGGGCAAGTTTGCTGGGCCCTGAGTGTGAAGGTGGGGGGAGGGCGGAAGTTTCACCCCTTTCCTCAGCCTCCAGCCTCCTTGATCCCTGCACAGGATGGGGCTCTGGGGACCACTGGCTTCTCCCAGCCATCACCTCACTGTTTCCCTCCTGCTGCAAACACCTTGGCCATTCTCCCTCCACCTTCCTGGACGTCCCCTCCTCTTGTCCACTCCAGCGGGCTCAGCCGTACCACCCACACAACCCTCCCAATCCTGCTCCCTCCTGGCCCGAGTCCAGGGACCATACCCGAGGTCTCCCACCACACTCCACACTGCTCTCTTCCCAGGACGACTACTGTAGCCTCCTCAGGCCAGCTGGGCCCCATCCTTGCCCACTGAGGCTGTTCTCCTCAGGGCAGGTAGGCCATTCTGGCAGGCCCCTCTCCTGAGTCACACTCTGCCTGAAACCTGCATCATGGTTCGCACTGCCCGTGGACAAAGTGCTGACTCCTGGGAGCTGCCCAGGGTGACGTCTGCCTGCCTGCCTGCCTTGGGCCTGGGCAGTCCAGCAGCACACACTCCATGCTCTCTCCAGACTTGCCTTTCTCTGGGCCTCAGGCTGGTCTGGCTCTCACCCATGGCCTCTTCTGCCTGCAGTGTGTCCCTCAGGTGGAGGCTGCTCATCTAAGTTGTGCTGCTGAGATCACTTGCTCTTGGATGCCTTTCTGCCCCCGTCCCCCAGCCTTGCTCTCAGAGGCCCAAGTTGGAACTGTCCGTCCACTTCCTGGTTTTCCCCATCACTACCCAGGAAGGAGTTTCCACACAGGGGCCATCTTCACGCATCTGTCCCTGGCGAGGGGCTTCCTGTGATTCACGGCTGACCTCTGGCTGTGCCATCCCATCTAGCCAGCTTGGAGCTGCAGCCAGCACGAGGACCTCCCCCTTTGCCTGCCCACCGGCCCCCATCCCTCCACCACCTAGGGCCTATCCCAGGGTCACCCCCAGGCTGGCACCCCGGGGTGACCTCAGCAAGCCTCTATCTCTTTGGGGACAGCTTCACAGTATTTTGGGAACTTGATGGAAAGGCCTTAGTCTCCACCTATCACAATCTGATTTCTACCCCAACACAACTGTGTTGGCTGTGGCCCAGGCCTGCAGTGGAACCCGAGCCACTGCAGAGAGGCCCAGCCCAGACCTAGGAGGGGCTTGAGGATGTGCCTGCCCTTCCTTCCACTCATGGTGGTCTCCTGACCTCCTGCTTCGCACTGAGCACTGTCTCTGGGTGGAGGACACGCCCAGCCAACTCCTGCCCTAGACCACTAATTGCGTAGGGCCTTTTCAGGTGTGCCCATGGCCATGGGGTAGGGAGATGGCAAGGTGATGCAGAGTGTTAGAGCCCTCTCTGAGGAGGTGAGAGTTCAGCCAAGGTCCAGGAAAGAGGTTCCATGCAAGAGTCCGGAGGTGGGAAGGGACACGATGACTGGGGGGCACATGGAGCTCCATGAGGCTGGGGCAAGACAGTGGGCAAGGGCCTGCCAGCTGAGGTCAGAAGGGTCTAGGGCTGGGCAGGGCCATGACTCCCTGATCTCTGGAGAAGGGGCTCCCAGGCCAGCGTGCCAGCCAAGGCCACCTGCTCATCTACAGCTATTGTTCTTCTTTCCCAGGGGAAGTGTGGCAGGATCTCATTAATTGTGTGAGGGAAAGGCCTGAGTCAGCAGAAAAGCCAAGTTTATCTTGAGCAGCTGCCGACTGACCCTGCGCCAGGGTGATCCAGTGACCTTCCAAGGACAATCTAAATTTAGGCTCCAGATTCCTGGGGATTGGGGTTTGGGAAGCTCCTAGGAGCCAATTTCATTTCAGAGGAAATGAAAAACAACGTTCCTTCTATCTTTTGGCTTTGTTTTCCTCCAGTGTAGCAGATGTTTGTAGAATCTCTGATCACAGAGCACCTCCCGGTGCCCTTTCTTGGTGCTCCCAGAGACAGCATGAATCTTCGCATCACTCGGCCCTGCTCTGGGGGCCTAGGAGGGGTACAGGGGTTTGCGATGATGGGCAGAACACCCTTTGACAAACAGCCAGTGAATTCACAATTCAGACTAGTGAATTGACCTCTCCTTGCCTTGGTCTCCCTGTTGGTAACAAAACCCTCCACAATGGAGGCTGTGAGTTTGGAGGGGAGGCTGTCACCAATCTCAAGCCCTCAGCTGCCATTCCGGAGCACACTGTGGGGTCCTGAGATGTCCTCTCTGGCTCCCTTGACCTTTGCAGCTCATCTGACTTCAACCCTCAGAACAGGTGCCACTGGCTCTTTGTCCAAATTAGAGGACATTGTGCCTTTAACTTCCCCAGTGGGTAAAGGAGTAAGGGGCAGGGAGCTCTGGTTGACAGAGACCTAGGGTCCTGTAGACCCCTCGTGCCTTCATGGACTGTCCCAGATGGTGGTCTCTGCATAGTCCAGGCCCCCTTTGGGAGCCTGGAGGAGCTCAGCCAATGGCAGCAGTGCCCTCAGGAGCAAAAAGTGGCCCTCCACCCCACTCCCACTCCTCACCCCTCATGTCTGCACTGCTTCCATGGCCTCTCTGTCCACCTTCTCTCCCTAAACTCCTGCCTTCTCTGATATTCTCTGATTATTTCCTTCTCTGCATGCTGCATTTTGCAACAATTTTATATTCTTCCCACTTAAAATCATAAAGTGATTCTAGATCCTCATTTTTCATTTAGCATCATATTATAAACATGTCTACGCTTTGTTAAAAACACCCTCGTGGGGGCACCTGGGTTGCTCAGTTGGTTAAGTCTTTGACTCTTGGTCTCAGCTCAGGTCTTGATCTCAGGGTTGTGGGTTCAAACCCCTCATTGGGCTCCACACTGGGCATGAAGCCTACTTAAACAAAACAAAACACCCTCATGATTATTATTGTTTCTAACTGGAACATGGAAGATGTTCCTGGAAGATGACCTCGGGGGTTGGACAGAGGCAAGATGGAATCTATCTCTACCATTCCCAGCGGTGGGGTGTGACTAGGGCAATGTGTTCTGAGGTTCTGTAAAATGGGGATGATAAAGGGCTTAACATCAAAGGGTTGTCAAGGAACTTAGTGGACAGGATTCCCTGGATCAAGGTGAATGCTGAATTAACATTAACGATGATGATTAATTATACAACCATCCCTCAAGACATACTTTGATAAAAGATGATTTTTCTATTATCAATAATACTGCTACCGAAGAAAGCCTTGGTATTTTGAAAGATTTCCTCAGGAAAAGTTCTCAAAGAATTTTAGTTCACATCTAGGAGGTTGTATCACATAGACCCCTTATCTGAGTATGCATTTTCATTGCCTGTCACCAGCATTGGGTATTCACAGTTTTAAAAGTATACTTATTGAGTAGGTAGAGAATGGTATCTTTAATTCTCATTTCTTTGAACAGTAATTTGGTTAAAATTTTTTTCAATTTATATTGCCTATTTTTATTTCCTCTTTGGTGAATTGTCTGTGTACCCACATAAATACAGAGCATTGATGTTTTTCTCACTTTATATGTTAGAAACATTAATTGCTGTCATATATGTGGCACGTACCTTTTGCCACTTGCTACTTACTCTATTACTGATTTTTTTTCAGGTTGTTACAAAAATTTGAGTATTTGAATCTATTAAGGTTTTCCCTCTGTGACTTCTATATTTTTAACTGTTAAAAAGTCCTTCTGTATAAAGAAGATATAAGTTAAATTATATTTTCTTATAGTTTTCTTCTGCTTCTCCTCATGCCAGGAAGGGCTTCCTAGTCTGACAAAGATGGATGGGACTGGATGCCTGGGTGGCTCAGTTGTTAATCGGCTGCCTTCAGCTCAGGTCATGATCCCAGAGTCCTGGGATCGAGTCCCACATCAGGCTCCCTGCTCAGCGGGAATCCTGCTTCTCCCTCTCCCACTCCCCCTGCTTGTGTTCCCTCTCTCGCTGTCTCTCTCTCTGTCAAATAAATAAATAAAATCTTTAAAAAAAAAAAAAAAAAGATGGATGGGACTAAGCAGATTAGAGTTCTGCTCAACAGCAAAATGGAGGGGATAGAGGAAGGAATAAATAAATTTGAACCTAGAACAAGAAGATTATTTCATCTCAACAAGAGAGAGAATGTGGAAAAAATAAAAAAAGAACAAAGCCCTGGGGAAATGTATGATGATAACTAAAGATTTAACATCCATGTCATTCTAGTCCCAAAAGGAAAAGAAAGAGGGTAGGGATTTAAAAAAAAAGTATTCAAAGAATTAATAACTGAAAATTTCCTACATTTAGCAAACAAAACCAAAAATCCTACAGTTTCAAGATGTTGCCTGAATCCCAAACAGGATAAACCCAAAGAAATTGACACCAAGACACATCATAATTAATTTTCTGAAAACAAAAGACAAAGAAAAATATTGAGAAGAATCAGAGAAAAAGGACACCTCACCTATAGGGGAAAAACAAATCAAATGACCAAAGATTTCTCATCAGAAACCATGGAAAACAGCGAAAGT